CAATGCCGAAACATGTTTAGACCAAAAAGCGAAGTCTGTGATGTAGCATCACGCAATTCAAGCGTGATGCTACTGTTCTGTTCTAAAAACCACTACCCATCCTTATTCATCTAAGAAGCACAAATATAGGTACCAAAACCGTCATTTTTGCCTTTTATTTCGCGTCATATGGCCTCGACATTTTTAGTTTTTTGAATAAATTCGGGGAATTGACAGAAAGTATACCACCCAGGGATTTTTCGGATATATACTTTTTGTATAGGGGGAGAAAAGGGTAATCCAGGAGAAAAGCTCACCGGAGAATAGCTCACCGGAGATAAGCTCACCGGAGAAAAGCTCACCGCAAAACCGGCGGATGCGGAGAAAAGCTCACCGATATTTTTTCTTCTTTTTATATAAAGGCTGTTGGGTCGTGCGTAACATATATAATTAAAATTCGTCAGCTTTGTAAAAAATAAAATGTCCTCTTTTGTAATATTTGTTAAGCTTAACGGGTATACATCGCTCGCAAATTAATAATTACGGGCCAGTGTTTTTTGTGGCTTACTCTCTAGGCAGACAAAAGCCTAACTAAAATCTTTATAGGAAGCGAGCAAGCCGGCCGTGTCGCGGCGGTCGCCTATTGTTCGCCGCGACCTGGCGGTAGCCGCCGCAGGAGCATCGGGCAGCAATGGCGACGAACAGCACGGCGGACAGTGTCCCCGTCGTGATTACGGCGGAATTTAAGGCAGTTACGAGTTCGGAAAGTTCCTTCGGAAGCCGGTGCCGCCGGCTCAGAATCATCGCGAAGTACTAGCAACGAACAGCACAGAGGACAGTGGGCGACTACGAATCCGGAAAGCTTCTTCTGTAGCCGGTGCAGAATCATCGGGGGGAAGCAGTGGCGATAGCAGCACAGCGGACAGTGCTCCCGGTGTGATTACGACGGGGTTTAAGGCGGTTACGAATCCAGAAAGCTTCTTCCGTGGTGCCAATATAACGAAGAGAAAACTGTTTCACGAATCTGGCCGCATGTTCGACGTGAAGGAGGTCCGTTTCGACGAGCAAGTGGATGTCACGGAGCGCCGTACTCTGCAAACAAAATTAAGCGCGCCCGCAAAAAAATTTAGTTGGCGTTGAGTGGACTGCGGTAATTATGTACGTTTATTTCTGAATCAGCTTGACAATAACTGGGCGATTTTTTTTTCGCGCCGTTCCGCGATTCTCTTTACTATCTTCCTGTAGGCTGATGGAAACATCCAAGGGTAGGCTTAGGAGGGCGACCGCACTCCGCTTCTCGATTCCGGTGAAGTATTTGCTGCATACTTTAGTTTGCCGTCGGTGTCGATGCTGTTCCATCGTCGCTAGAAGAGAAAAAAAGTTAATTGTATTATTCGTCAGCAGCTTAAACAAAGCGCGAACTGGAAGGTAAGAAACACCACCAACCTGTATGGACGCATAAGTCGTACCCAGGTCGCGCAGTACTCCGCCTCGTACGGCTTTCAAGAGACGATGTAGTACTTCGTGCCACGCGCGATCTTGCCGACCACGCAGCAATTGTTGCGGCTTTCTTGGTGCGGAATAGCCATCTCAGAAATTACAGCGCTCACCCACTACAACGCACAACCAACGCAGCGACTGGCGGAAGATGCCCGATGCAACGGACCCGTTTGCCGCTAGGGGCGCCCTGGTCGGGGCCTGAATTAGATCCGCACGGTTCCTATGATCTTGAAGAACAGGAAAAAGTTAAAAAAACCTAAAAATCAAAGGTGTAAATGCCGAAAATCCAAAAGTGCACGCGGAACACCGCGGTGCCTGAAATTCTCTTTGAAGCTATTGTTAACATTTGAAAACAGGGTAAAACAGTCAATAGGATATCGAGGCTTCTTTCTTCCACGGACATGTACGCTTTCTAACCGTTCGTGCTTGTGTTTCCACCATAGAGATCATATACTAAATCTAGAGGAAAAGGTCCGCCATTTTCCCATACATTCTGGCTGCCGCAAGCGGCGGACCATGCAGGCAGACACTCTGGGTCCCAAACACGGTTACATCATCAGAGCAGTTTCGTGAACTTCAACAATCCACGAACTTACCGGTGGAAAGATACTCGCGTTCCTTTCGAAGGTTTCTTTTTGCATAGTGCGCAGATGTACGGCCTCGCGTTAACGCTAAACTAAACCATATACCCGGCTTCGCTGGTGGGGCGCGGCTGGGCGCGGTTGAGGAATACGAAACCGCGCAACCACCAGATTTCCGAGATTTCGACAGAAGGGAAGTTAATGCAGCGTAATGACTTTATTGCTTTTTATAAGCGTTAGAATAGCTCAGAATTTAGTTTACAACGTTAAATTATCACTGTTTATATTGCTGAGAGTTTACACTCTTCGCGTTTACCGCGTTTACCATGGCAACGTTGCTTTCTTTCTCTCGTGTTCTGTCGCTCTCTTTCGCGATCGTTCACTCGGGACCCAGGATGTCGGCGCACGGGATTTGCCACTCCTCCTCACCCACCTTTACCCCCCTGGTTTCCACACGTTCCCTTTGTGTGATAGGATGGATGGATGAATGAATACGGCTGAGCCCTTTGGATCGGGCGGTAGCTTGCGCCACCTAGCCATTTTGTTTTACCATTTAAGTTTAGAATTTAAATGTGAAATCTATATTCACTCCGCAGTGCAAAGAAAGCGAGGCTACGAAACCCCCTTGCCATCAGTGAATAAGAAAGTGTCCTTCTACGGTGCGCCACCCATGACCTTCAGAGGTGCACACTGTCTCCGTTGTTATTCGTGAGCTATATAAGAACTAGTCATTCGTAAGGTAGGTAGCGAATTGGGCGAATTGGTAAACGTTATACACGATGAAAACCGCTCAAACGACGACGACGGAGTGAAGACAACAAACACGACACGACGAAGCTGTTCTCGCAACTAAAGGTTTGTTAGTGAAATCAACAGAAAGAAAACAGCGTAGCCGACACTGATTACATTAACAAACATCTACTTATCTATTAGGCACCACACAATATTTGGACCTCAAGCGATTCACCACACCGCTATTCATATTAGCTCCCAAAAAACAAACCTCTTTATCTGACAGAGCTACCGACGGCGCACTGTCACTTGTCAATAAACTGTTGCCTTTTTTACCGGTGTACGATGTTCTGATTTTATACTTGCGGCTTCATTAATTTACAGAATGGGTGATTACTAATTTCTGAGAAATTAGTAAATATGCCCAATGAACCTCAAAAATATTACAAAAACGAGGACATATTTTGAAATGAGTGACGAATGCGAATTGCGTTAAATTGCCACGTTTAACGCAGAATCAAGCTAAGCTAAAAAAATATCGGTGAGCTTTTCTCCGCATCTGCCGGTTTTGCGGTGAGCTTATCTCCGGTGAGCTTATCTCCGGTGAGCTTTTCTCCGGTGAGCTTTTCTACGGTGAGCTTATCTCCGGTGAGCTTTTCTCCGCCGCCCTGGAAAGGGGGGGGGGGGGGGGTGGGGGGGGGGGGGGGGTGATTCATCCGAAAACACGGAACCCTAGCTATCGTGCAAGGATGCAGTTTTTTTTTTTTTTTTTTTTTTTTTTTCATTTGATGCTTTTACCACCTTCGGGCACCGCTGTACGTAGGCGGGCTTATCAATGCAATTTCAACGAGCAGGCCAACTTTTTTTTTTTCTTTTTTTTGCGAGAAAGTTTAGTGCGCAAGTATGCTTATTTTTTTTCTATTATGCTGATGTAATTTAGAAGTCCGAATTCTAGAGGTCACTTTCTACATTCTAAATTAATAGCATGTAGCATTACTAGCCTTGAGTCTCTCGCTTATTTAACCTAGAGCACTATATAGCTCCTTCGGAGCAGAGTAGCGCAATCTAGAACGCCGTCTCTCGGCGACTAGCGGCGAACGCCCGGAGGTTCCAACTGCGGTCAGAAATGCATGGAGAACGTGAGAAAATCGTTGTTTCTTGAGTTTTGTGGGGATGTGCGGAATGGAAATCATTTTTGACATAATAATGAAACATTTTAGAATAATATGCGATAATTTTTGTGCCATACAAGGACGTAACTTTTTTTAAAAAATTGCCTGAGCGGCATCATGCAGCAGACGACACGGCGACGTCACACCATTCACGTGACCCGCTCCGGCCAACCCGAAAAGCCCATCTCCGCTGCGAGCAAAAATCGTCTGCTTCGAACGCCATTGCCTTGGAAATTGCCTTCTCAAAATTTGCACACGCATCCGATATTATTAAAACGTTGATAAAGTGTTTAGCGCTTTACTAACTTCACAACAGGCTAGTTTTGAAAAATGTGAACTCGCCGTTAGTTTTTTAATCAGCCCTGTTATGTCGATCTCCATGTATTCTCCCATAGGGCGGGCCGCCTCCTGGAACCCTGAGTACCACGTGACTCGCGCCGAGCCGCTCTGTCGGCCATGTTGTCGGCAAAACACGGGGTTCAAAGGATTGCGCTACTCTGCTCCGTAGGAGCTATATAGTGCTCTAATTTAACCCATGCTTATAACTCGCCGTTCTCCATTGGTGTTCGAGACCTTGGAACGCGGGCCCAACAAACATGGTCGTCGGAAAACATGTTTGTTGGAAGTATAGCCCGCGTTCCAAGAAAAGCCTCGTTTCTTACAAACGTGCACATTCCAAACTGGTCAAGAGAGGTATAGCGCTAACATGTCTTCAGGTAGCTCTTGCAAAAAGTTGCATGGACATTAGTTTTGCTCAGCAAGTAAAAAGGTTCGAAAACGTAGGGTACCCACCGTACCCACCTAACCTAGTTTCGAGCTGATCTAAAAACCTACTTAAAAAAAAAGAAAAGCCTAAGAGGGCAGCCACACAAATGAAAACACTTTAAAAAGGGGGTTGGGACATTGTTGGGAAGGGGTGTGTTAAAACAAAATTTATGCAAATTTTAGAAAAAAAATAGATGACGAAATGTTAGGCTAGGTGGCGCAAGCTGCCGCACGTTACAAAAGACATAGTAGTTACCATCTATCTATTCATTCATCCGAAGGGGAATGTTGTCACATGACCGCGATATTATCACGTGACGGCCCTGTACCGGCGTGGAAAAGGCAAAAAAAGAAAACAAAAGACGTCCACCGAACACCGAAGCCCTCGAAGTTACAGGTTACAGGGTACTTCAGTAAATTACCAACCACCGAAAGAACGTTCATGATGGCAAGGTTCACACTTGGTGAGTGCAGCTCTCACTGAACGTTTAAAAGCGGTGCAAATTTTGCGCGCGGGCGTCAGCTGTTCGCAAAGGTGATGTTACCTCGTGCAAAGCTGTGAATAGCGTATTCATGAACCTGAGAGCGGTCACCCCGTCAGAAACGAACGACTGGGACATGGCTTTCTGTTCACCGCTTGGCGGCTGTCTGGTTGCATAGAGCAGGCGCCACGAAAATATTTCGAAGCACGCAGAACCAAACAAAAACGAGTATTCAGTTGCAGATTGCTCGAAAATATGGCGCCATATCCTTCAGTTTTCGAACTCCTGGTTTGAGAGTTTTTCAGCATGTCGTTGTGGGGGAGCGGCGCGTACAGTGGGTTCCTTGACCTACGAAGCTAGATCCTAATGGGCCTTTTTCACATAAAGGCGGCACCAAGTGGCAAATGCTCCCAACAACGGTTGTTAGATGAAATGGGAGCTGCGATACCCTTCCTGCCTCCTCAGCTGCTGATCCGAGTCGCGGAAGAGGCAGGAGTGGTCGTGCAAACCATAATTGTAAAATTACCCGAGACTGCGGTGACGACAGGAAGAAGGAAAGACTTCTTTCCTTCTTCCTGTTGCTTTTCTGTCGCTACACAGTCTCGGGTAATTCTACAGTTATGAACTTGCACCAGCTCACTTGCACCCTCACGTTTTGTCCATTAAATACTTCAAGACGCAAGTTTTGCCCCTCCCGCCTATTCCCTTCATCCTTGCTCAAAATTGAGACTTCTCTCCCTCTTCCTGTCTTTTTTTTTTTGTTTTTTGTCAGCGCAGTCTCGGATAATTCTACAATTATGAACTTGCACAAGTGTCGTGATGTAGGCGAGTTGGTTCATGGTAACGGAAATAAACAGCTTGCAAAAAATACACAAGGAATAGGAAGGTGCGAACGACACAAGCGCTGAACTTGCACAAGTTCACATGCGCCGTCACTTTTGTTGCAAACCATTCTTCCGGACGCCAACCGAAGTTAGAGCTTTTGCCGCTGCGAGAGGAAGGCCAGCGCACGTGCAGAACCCTGCTTGAAAAAGGTTAATTGTTGGCTGCCTTGAGCTGCAGTGATCTACATTTAGCTACTGACGCGTCACTTCTGCACCCATTGTAGCTTGCATTTGGCTCCCGAGTTCTCGCTAGAAAGCTTCTGCCCTTCCTAATGTCACCCTTATGTTTTTTGTTTATGGATTGAAACGCCAGGGACACTCTTCCTGTGGTGAGCCGGACAAAGAACTGTGTTTCTTTCCTTTTGTCTCCTCTACAACAGGTTTCACCCTGGCTGTAATCACTGGCAGAATGTTTGCGACTGTCGTAGCCACCGAGCGAAGGCCTTACGACGTTCAGCTTCCTGACGAACACATGGCCCACTTCTTCTATGGACACCCTGCAGCGCGTCAAAGCTGCATCGAGGATCCGGCCTGTCCTTACAAGGTAAAGAGAGACTGCATTATCAGAGTCTGCTGGAGAGCAGCTTCTACATTGTTTCCCAGGAATATTTGCTGAACATTTTCATTATATAGGGTGTACCTAGTGGAGCTTGCGCTGTAAAATGAGCTGGAAAAATTGGTGCCTACACATAGAAAGCTCAAACTTTCATCAAATGTGCACTGAGGTGCTCGGTATTACCTCGTGAAATTTTAGGGCATAATTTTCTTCCTATAAAAAATGAGACCAAGAAACTTGCCTCCTTTTGTAATGCTTTTAACAAGCCCCAAGATCTAATTTTTTTTAACCGTCTCAAACATTTTAAAAGTATGTGGTGAAAAACAAAAAAAAACACCATTGCGAAAAAAAAAAAAAAAAATCTGCTGCGCAAAAGAGCTTGTAAACATTTCTGTTCTCCCCCAATTTAAACTTCTCGCTTGTTTTTTGTTACGTTATTGGCGAAGGCATTTTTAAAAGCACGAAGAGGTGCCGCAGTAAGTGTTATTGTCATTCACAAAATATCTTTCTTTTGCGACGACTGTAAAGGTTCTACAATGCTGACTTAAAAAAATCAAAATGGGAGACCAGAAGTGTTAAAAAGTTGGCCGTCTCTTAGCTTTTTCTTCATACTTTTGACATGGCGGCACCTGGTAGCTGTGCTGAGGGCATCGAGAAAGGTGCGCACAATGGACCGGACAGGTTTTTGTTTTTGGTGCCGGGTGACCTTTTGGATAACGTCTTGCACTGCACCTTTGCGACGTCGCCCCTCATGCTGCTCACCAAGGGCTGCTACACGTCGTTTCCTCCCTTACATCTTTAAAAATTGTTTTAGACCGACAAACAATGCTAAAAAATAGAGGCACTGAAAAGTTATGCGTCGTCTGCATGTGAAGAAAGGTCTGGCGAAACACTCGCGCGTGTGGCCATGAATAATGAGGGGGAAAGAGAGAAAATAAAAGGACGCTTCCTGTTTGAAGTCATCCAAAAAGGCAAGGAAGGCAGCATTTCGCTAACTATGTCGTGGATTAGGGTGGGCGTTTCAAATCAAGCTTTCTGAAAATATTTTTTTCTCTGCGGATGCGCAGTTTTCAAGCTTGATATCATTAGGCTACCCCGGGAAATCACTTCTAGTCGTTTGCAATATTAATAAAAAAAAAATTTGATCTTGGGGTTTTCAGTGGCCCTTTAAGGTGAAACAAATAATGAATGAATGCCCATGGCAGACATGTTCGCAGACAGCCTAGTTTGTGATTAATGAACTTTGGCGCCATCTCTTGATGGGTGCAGCAAGCAGACAACAAAGTATGTTGTCTAATCGCTGCGCCTTTTGGGAGACGGTGCCACAAGTTACGTACCTCACTAACTCGGTCGTCTTCCTAACACATCCGCTGTTCACTTTGGCAAGTTTGTATGTCTCATTTTCCACAAGAAGAGAACTACGCCTTGAACTGGTCACAAAGTAAAACTGACCACCTCAATAGACACTCTGTAAAATTACAATCTTTTTGAGTACAGGCGCCGATTTTTCCGACTCTTTTTACAGCGTAATATCTACTCTGTGCACCCTATATTTGTAATTTGTTACGACACCAGGGCACTTGGGAGCACTTGCTACAGTGAATTGCCTGCACTTGTTGCAACGTTTTTTCTGCAATCCGAGACTGTATATTCACACTGCCAGAAACAGGCGAATGCGTCGGTGTGTTGGGGCTACGAGCTGGGCTGCGACAGGAGGAGCGAACCTGCTACTTGCCCCGGGAGCGCCAATGGATGGTGCGTTCCTTTCTCAGCTGGTCTTTTGCGGCGACTCTTTTCGTGTTGCAGGGAACAATAAGGATTGCAGATGGCTATTTGAGGACAGTCAGAATGCGTTGTCTGGATGTTGTTTTCGCAGGTCTCTGTTGTCTGAAACTGTGAGGTAAAATATCCACATTTCCGAAGCACGAGTGCATGTTAGGGAGTTTTAGTAGATAGTCCCAACCTCTCAGATATCGACACCTAAAACTCCACTGAGGCCTTTGCGCATGCATCGTACCATTATCGGGATCGTTATTGGAGTTATTGGAACAATTCACTAAAACTCCCTATTGACTTACCGAGGAATGTCCCAGTTACAGCGCTCATTCCTAAGAGTACCGCACTACAAGATTCAGAGAAGGGGCACAAGGAGTAACACACATCTGGCCACAGCAGATGTAGGCATACGTGACGAGGTATTGCTGGGAACTCGACCAACAATGCTGCAGGCATTCGGGCTTTCTTTTTTTTTTTTTTTTTTCGCGCTTAAGGCATTTACAATTTCTTTTCTTATAATTTTATAAATTACAGGTTTGGAAACCTATACATCTTCAAAATGGGGTAGTCTTGCATTGAAATCTGGTCCCAGCCCAGCGACACCTGTGCCCCCGTTTTGGACAAGTGGGGCAGAGCAGGGCCAAATGCCATCTAGGAAGGACTAGCCCGTCGAAACGCCGAACATCTCCATCGAGACTTGCGGTAACGTCTGCCCTTGCATTCTTCCAGGGCGGAGGGCAAGGAGGCACAGCTGAATCTCTTCTTCGACCAAGGGGACTTTGGGTTCATCCGCGAGCGGAGAAAAACACTCAGTCTGCTCTGCCGTCCCGAACAGCCAGTGAGCGGGCCCACCCGGGGCATTGGCCATTTCTCCACCTTAGCAAAATTGTACCAAATAGAATAGACAACTCTCTTCTGGCACTTTATGCGGTGGGCTGCATGGCTGAGTTCGGTCAACCTCGTCACTTTGGCATGGAAGTTGTAGGGTAGGGGTCTGTGCGGGCTGGAATAGCCAACCACGAAAGGTTGGCCATTTTTGCCCTTCCGTTTAGCTATCGGTTTAGCTGCAGTGAGCTGATAACATTTAATCGAAGTGCTGACTTTGCACACTGACTAAACTCGCTGGGCTTTGCTTCTTAGAAGACGAAGGAAGTTTATGCCTCACCTTCTTGCTTTCGAGGGAGACTCTCTGCTGGAGTGCGTCCGTCACATGGAGCTCTGCCGAGCCAAGAACATTCGGATGGACTTTGAGCGACTCGTCGGAATGCCGGAGCCAATGAAGTAAGCTGTTGCAGCTGTCTTTTTGTGAATTGGGTTGGCCGCGTTTGATTTTTGCACTGATCGTCATTGAGGCAACTTGTCATTTACTCGACGAACATTCATACAAGTTTTTTTATAGCTGGCTGTTGTTGCATTGTTATTTTCACAAATGAACACTGGTGGCACCAAATGTACTCTAGTTATTGACAATCTCTCGTGCCTCGGCGTCACCGAGCAGCGACAATAGGCCACGCTTGTGAGTAAGCAATGCTCGAGTTTGCTTGGGTTTCCAAACGGCGGCTTTTGCTGTTTGTGCTAGCCAGCTAGTTGTTTCTTCGCCTAATGAAACAACCGTTCCAATGAAAAGCCACTCTTTGCCCGCAGCGTGGCATGACTGGGCAGCAGTTTTATTTGCTATACAAGAATCGCATCAGGCATAATGAGTCCGCCCGACGTCAATGCCTCAACTGATTATTGGTGGCGGGAAATTTTCACGACCCTTATGGGGAACGGATGGGCCACAGAGGCATTAGTTTTGTGATTACTGAAGTTTAACTTGACTTGTGAATGCTGACGTCTAGCACACTTTGCCAAAATGGACGCACAGATCCCTGGCAGCCCACATGGTCCTGCAGACATCCTCGAGTGTCTTAAAGTTCCTTGGTCTTTTTCAAGGACGGTCACAGGGCACGTGATCTGCCGTGCTCCCAAAAAGTAGGCCCGTGAAGAGCCAGAGGTCTTTTCGCTCCTAAGTGCTGCAGTCACACATCATACAGAAGTCACTGTGTTTGCTACAGACATAGTGACAAATTTAGCCATAGACATGCATGGCCGAAGCATGTTTATTTCATACATGTGTATGTTTCAAACATCTCTGCAGACAGTTTCGGTATAACCAGTGTGACGGGACTGACATACAGGGAAGAACCATGCCTCTGGCAGCACCTGCAGACTGCCTTCCGTACAACATATGAAGCAGGGTGATTGCGGCTTTAGGCTTACAGACGACTGCTGTTTTCTGGCTCTAACAAGTTGATCCACTGGAAGTGGTTGAACATTGCGACACAGACAAAGGACGGTTGCAGTCTTTCGGCATTCCTTGGCAGAGGTCGGCAGGGCTGCGGCCTCGGTCGCAAGGGCGAGCTGTAGCGTGTGTCGGCCCCATCTCCCGCAGGTACCGAGAGGACGTCCTGGGGCCCGGCCTGGTGGGGGGCCGCTGTCGACTGGACGGGGCTTCGCTGCGCCTTGAGGGTGGCCGCAAGAGCCCGCTCCAGTCCTGGTACTTCCCCCGTCTGTGCTTCGACTGATGGGAGGCTTTGACTGTGCCAGTGTCTACGGCGTGTACCTCCTGATTTTTACGGAGTATTTCAATGAAAATATATTCAGTGCATTGCCGAACGCTTGGCCTCTGCCCAAATGTGACGCTACTATAACGGTCTGGACCGGATGGCAGTTTCAGAACAAACCGTTATCTCATTCAAAAGTTGCGTGAAGTTCTGAAAATTTTAATGGAAAAATGGAGTTTGTTCTTGGTAGCACCATTTGGCTCCATGTATTCGAAGGCACCGTTAGCCACACATTTTTTCATTGAAAATGTAAGAAAATAGTTTAAATTTTTAATAAGGTAATGGCTACCATAATATCCTGGTAGATGCCCCACCCCCGAAAGATAATGCACCCCCGTTTTTGGCATGATTTACTATTTTTCCAAAAACACCAAAAGATGGCCCACTTCTATTAACTCCAGGGCCTTGTACAATGGTGACCTCGGCAGAACTAGCGTTATGTTACTTAGCAACGGTGGGAGATAGGTGAACATCACTGACTTGGAAGAGGTCACAAAATTTAAAACTGACATTTTTCTGACTTTCTTTATTGCATGCCGAAAGTTAGCTGACTATTTATCTTCACTCAATTCGCTTTCGATTTTAGGTGGGCTATCTTGGAATGTTGCGGTTGTTTCGAAACTTCGACGTGTGGTCTGGTCTGCTAGCGCTACTTTCGGGTAGTAAATGAGCGTTTGGCAATCCATTGTTTATTTTTGCGCCAAAAAAAAAATGACCCGGGGGGACACACCTTGTATACAAGGTTGTGTGTAGTGGCGTGTGACGGTAGTTTATAGATGAAACCTTGATATGCTAAAGTGAGATGCGGAATCGGTCGGGTTCGGCAGATGCCCACTCGTGCATGTGTAGGCTTGTTACTTGAGACTTCCCGAGCGAGTTTACCACGCTGTTCCTGTTCGGCCGAGCGGCACGGCAGGCTTAGCTCGTCTCTTTTTTATTCTGTACTTTACACCTGCAGGCTCCCAGTTACCTAGGTGATAACTAAATTGAGCTGTTGACTAGAGAGCTTAAAGGTGCACTAAAGACGCTTCTGAGATTGTCTGTTCTTAGTGATAACTCGCTCTACGGGCTCCAAGCATCCCGTAAATCAAAACATTATGCTTGTGCAAAGTCTGTTTCCCTGCTAAAAATGTGACAGAAGTTTGTGCCATGCCCCTTTCTAAGCGGAAATATCTGGAGCACAGAATTCAGCAGAGGCGTCGGCGGCGCGACGACAGCTGCGCGCCGGTCAATCGCCAAGCAAAGGAGCCGGCAGTGGAGGCACCTCCGCTGGATTCTGCGCTACAGATCTTTCTGCTCAGAAAGGGGCATGGCACAGACTTCTATCATATTTTAGTAGGGAAATAGATGTCACACGAGCATAATTTTTCAATTTCAAGGATGCTTGGAGCCCGTAAGAAAAATTTTGACCAAGAAAGGACAATCTCAGAAACGTCTATAGTGCACCTTTAAAGTGCCTGCACGTGTGCTCTGTTACACCTTATGTCAGACAGCAGAAGGTGCCACGAGCCGTCGGAGCCAAGGCAATAAAGTGCTAGTTTCACGTGACCTTCGGGAGGCACGCAGCGACACACAGTGACGCACAGGGTGCATACTCACGTGATAAGTTCACGGCACCGGATAGCCTGGGATGGCTCGTAGCGCTTTCCGCGGTTTGTCGCAAGGTGAAACGGAGTACAGAGACCAGCCCAAGCCTGCTCACCAATTGCTCGCAGCTGATGCCACAATCTCCATAAAAAAGGTATGCGGAGCTGGGACACTTCGAAGAGCTGCCCTCCGTGCCTTCCGGGGAAGACGGATGCGACGTCGTGTTGGAGCGTCCGACGGTGGTCATGAAGCTTGACGCCAGTGAGTGGGGTCCGCGAGGATCAATTATATTTTTACGCGTTTTATTGACCAATTTTTATGGCATTCTGCGACGTTTGGCTGTAACAGTCAGTTGTAATGGCTGGCTGTAATGAGAAACTGATGCCGAAAAGTGTAACGTCTATAGGGAACCCTAAAAATAGACTCAGTCCCTCGGCAGAATTAAAACTTGCCACCTTGAGATTGTGAGCAAAGTGCTTGGCCGACTGAGCTATTCAGGGTTGGCAGTTGGAGTGCACAAAAACAAACTCATTCGCGCGCCGCGCGAAGGCGCGGTCGTGCGCTTTGTGCCATCTCGTGGCCCGTGTCAGAAATGAGAGGAAATCTTCGGCAGGCAGAGCCGTTCGGACGTTCCTCTCTTCTCCCCTGGAAGGCCCATCACATGCTTACCAGTCTTTGTCTGCATGATAAATTTGTTACAAGACCTTGACGGCTGGTTGTTTTGGGGCCGGGCGTAGGGGACAAAAGTGGTGAGAGGTGCACTTTCTTGTCGTGTGCAGCGGTGAACATGTACCATCACTTCTGTGACTTCGTCAACCTTTACGCCAGCATGCATTTCAACAACACGTTTGGCAGGGATTTCGACATCCTGCTTTGGGACACGGTGAGTGGCTGGCAGAGTGTTGTAAACTCGTCGAGACGAATATCTTTGTGAAACAATCGAGAAGCACTCGAGCGCAACTTGCCACTCGTGTGTGTCACGAAAACGAACTTGGAGAGAAAAGTTTTGCTTCATGCAACACTTTCATGCTTGCTTGAAAGCAGACAGTTGTGCTTGCTCTAGCCTTTACTCAAAACAGCTGACAAAGGAGTTTCTCGGGGATGTTTTCCTTTCTGGTGACACTGGAGAAACGATTAATCGTAATGAAATCAATGTATGCCAGGGTTTCTTCCTGTTGTCTCGAAGAGTCATAAATATTGTCACGGGAGATAGTTGGTGAGGTGGCAAATAACCGGGAAAACTAAGCTTGTGACTGTGCAAGGTTGTGCCTAAAATCGGTACAGTTATTGGTGTGAATGTCAGTATGATAGCAGGATGGAACGCTGACGCCAGATTACCTTGATGCTGCAAGCTACAGATTCGATCGCTGGAAACATTCTAGACAAGAACACACGAATGGACCGGAATGCAATGTGTCGTGATCGAACTGGGGCATTCCAGAGAACAAGGCGGTGTAAGAGCATGGGCTGAGTCTTCATACTTGTTGTGCAAGAGTTGCGGTGACATCAGAAAGACGCCAAATTCTGATTGGCTCTTATTGAAGGGTAGTGGGTAGACCTCAAAGTAAGCTGCCTTGAGGTGTACTCACTACCTTTCATTCAGAACCAAACGGAGCTCGGCATTCGGACGTCCAAAGAAGCAGACAAACTTACAATCCAGATTGGATGGATTCTTTGGCTTCCCCTTTGTAGCCGGTGGTCACAGAACTTTGGATTCTGGATCTAGCCAGTGGTCCCTCTGCCACTACCCCTTCTGATGTCTCTTCCGTCTGTGTCTGCCGTTGCCTGACTTCTCACACTCCACCGTGCTTTCCCCCGTCGTTGGGTGTCCTGCCACCACACCCCCAGTCTCCTCTTCATCACCTCCACCGTTGAGCGAATGTTCTCCCGTCGCTGCTCCGGTCGTTTCCCTCGTTCATCCAGTCCCTTAGCCGTTTCCGGTTCTTTCAGCAGTCAGTCCACAAACCGAGCAGGCCCTCTCCTGTCCCTCTGTAAATTTGACTCTCCAGACCCGAGTTCGTAGGGTCCCCATGCTGGCCTTTAGAGAAGCCCACTACGCCTCGAGTTGTCATAACGTCTCTTCTCCTCAGTGGCCCTCTTCTCTGTGAAGTACAGTCTAAGGGAAGGTTTGGTCTCCATTCTGGCTGTCCACCTTCTCATCTCTGCCACCTGTATAATTTCCCGGAGCTCTGCGGGTTTGTCTCTGCTCCTGCTTACACACTCGAGCCAGTTTGCCTGAAATTCGTAACGCTGCTGTGGTCTTTGTATGCAATAGATCCACCTGGTGCCTCTCTCTTCGAATATGACGTAGCGCAGCGTACAATGAGCCCGGTTGTCCTTCGGCAATCCATAGAGACGGCTTTTGTAGCTCGCCTGGGATCTGGCCCCTCTCGCCTCAAATGTAGACCAGCCCAGGTCCCCCTGGCCTCTCTCGTTGGGCGCTGCTTCCGTGACCATCAGGGCCATCCTTCCCACATCTCTCTGCTAAGCAATAACAGTAGAACTTACGTTGCCATATTTTCTTAGTTTTGTAAGTTAGATTTGCTGCCTGGGCATCCATCGTAACCGTCTGCATGCACGCGCTCGTTTGCAGCTCCCATACAGGGGCAACTTTGCGCCCATGTGGCGGGCGTTCATCGACGGCGAACCGAGGACCCTGTCGGAGTTGAGGGGCCGCAAGGTAAGTCCCGCCACCCCGCTCGTTTGCCAGCTCGGGTCAGCGTGGTTTCCCCGCAGGTCTGCTTCCGCGAGGCCCTCTTTGCCTTCCTGCCCCGCATGATCTTCGGACTGTACTACAACATGCCCCTGGTGGGTGGCACTTCCCCACCGGTCCGGGCACGCACGCTGAAGTCGCCCTCTCTGCAGGTGCCCGGCTGCTCGGGGAGTGGGCTCTTCCGGGCCTTCAACCGGCACGTCCTGCACAGGTTCGGAGTCACCGCCAAACCGCCTGTAAGCCCTCTTTCTTGACGTGTGGCACAAGACTGCGGTACTGCGCCTACAACGCGTCTGCGAGTGTGACTAACGCCCTGCACTGCCCAATCATTCGAAATGGCAAAGAGTTACATCACGGGGTCTGGTGTGTCACGTTGGTTGGTGTCGCAATCCTGGAGGTTGGTTGTATAAGTTTCCGCAAATACGCGAGCGAACGCCAGTGTCGCTGTCGTCGCGGCGTCCCAACTTCTGGCTGCCAAAGCTTCGTGGACCGTCGAGCTGGAGAGCGACCTGCAGCAGAACAAGCGTCCGTAATGTCCACGTCCATCGCCGTACCGCCGCCAGAAGTGCAGCGGGCAACAGCATGATGGATTTGTGATAATGACTGGCGAAAATGAAGGAACTGCAAATAAGGGCACGGTAAACGCACCAGTCGGAGACGCATTCCAGGTACCGTAGTTACGGTGCAACCCACATGGCTGTAGCAAGGTGATGAGAGACCTTGTGTTAACTTTGAACGTCTTATGAACAGCTTGCACTCGATCGACACTTTGCGACAGGTTCGGCCCAAAGATTGCTTTTGATTTGTGTAGGTCATTTATCCACCCCATACTTGTCCGACCCACGACGGTGCCACACAAGCTTCGTTGCTATGGTAGTTTTAATCAAAGTAATTGTGGTCTTTTGATCACGCAAGGAAGATGAAGGGTAGCGGTTCTGTATGGTGCCATTCGTGTTATGCTATGCACTCATAGAGAGGCTGTGAGCGAATTTAATACCTTAACTCCCCACACTCTTTACAGGTTAAAAAAGAAATGTGAAGCTAATTTGTCCTTGGCTTCTTCGCTGACTTCCGGGACAAAGAATCTGTGTCCCTGTGCTTTTGGCCAATGGGAATTTAACTGCAGTTTCTGGCTGCAGACGGTTACAGACAGTGCCAGCTTCGCTCCGTGGGACAGCTAATGCTTTCGCATTAATATTTACAGGTTTCTTTTACCGCACAAATAAATGAGACGTTCCCAAACGCTCATTCTCTGCCAAAATGTAGTGCTAGCGGTCCAAACCACGGTACAAAGTTTCAGAATTAACCATTACCTTATTAAAAAGTTATATAATTTTCTGAAAATTTTAGTGGGAAAATGGGGCACATTCTCGGTAATTAGTGCTATTCAGCTCCCATGTATTCAAGGACTCCATCAGCCGCCATTCTCCCAATAAAATTTTCAGAAAATCCCTTAAATCGTTTTAATATTTTAACGGTTAGTGCTGAAACTTTGGCATTTAGTTTGGACCACTAGTGCTACGTTTGAGCGAAAAATGAGCATTCAAGCGTGCATAACTTATTTTTGCTTTGAAAACAACAACAAAAAAAAAACTTCTGATTTTTGGGAGGACATCCTGTACACCTTTTCAGAAGAAAGTTTGAAAGCTCGAAGATCTGCAGAAGTAAGGTTTGCTCGCCCTTTAAATTGGGAGTTTCCAATTCCTTCCGCAGGATGGCGACATCCGTGTGACACTGCTGTCTCGGAAGACCAAGCACCGCCGCATAGTCAACGAGCAAGAGGTGAGCGCCTTTCTGTCGATGAAAGCAGGGGCCCATTATAAGACACCTAAGAAGATAAAGCCTGCACGTCTACATAGGCATTATCTTTCTAGGTGGGACAGCACGCAGGGGAGCGGCTCAGTTGGCAGGCCTTAGCGTGGCCAGTACACTAGAAGTGTGACCCTAACGCAAAATGTTTCTCGAGACGCAAGTTTTGCACTAAAAATTTATTTTATTGGGAAAAGTTTGGTTTGTGGCATGGAAAAGAAGAGAGTGTAGTTTTAACTAGTGAAGTGAAAACGTGCATGTCAATCTCTTGTTATATCTTGTAATATCTTCAGGTATACTGAAAACAAACAATCACAGTATTCTTTAGGCTGCAGTTTGGGCTAGTTGGTTGTTCATACCTTTGAGGTTACAGTGCACAAAGGGAGACACCTAATTTGCGCAGGCACAGAAAAAGACACACTCGTGTGGGGCTAACAACTCTTTCTTAATTTCGTCGTCGTTTACTCTTTTTTTCTATACGCTTAAGAAGAAACAATTAAAAACCTCCACTACTATCTCCTCAAACTTGTGGCTGAGTAATCTAACTCCTTCCCTGGTCATTTAGCCTCTTTATATTTTCGGCTTCGATAATAGCTTCCTTTGATTACTATTCCTCCCTAGTACCTGTGTGCTTGTGCAAATTCTGTGTCTGCTTTTGTGTGCTGTAACATTGGAGGTAACCACAGGATTGTACTTGTGACTGCAGCGATTTTGTCTGGGAATTTAGTGTCTCAACATGTGTGCAGCTCTTGAGACCCTTGTCCCAGTTGGGAACCCTGTTTTGGTTTGCAGCTAGTTGCGGCAGCCAGGTCACTTCCAGGGGTCAGGGTTCGTCTGGTGGACTTTGGCCACTCCACAGACTTCATGCACCAGCTCGAGGTGCGCCCAGTTTGTCACTCGCAGCTCTCGAGTAGCTCGGTGCACGGCTCAGTGGGGGATTGGTGGGGCGTTGCAGGTGACTGCCAACACCGATGTTCTCATTGGAATGCATGGAGCTGGCCTCACCCACGTGCTTTTCCAACCTGACTGGGGCGTTCTCTTCGAGATGTGAGTTAATAATAATTATAATATTCTTTATTTTTTAACGAAACAATTCAATGTTGGTGAAGACAATAAAAAGAAAAGCTGTTTAGAAACAAATGTATCTCCTATTATGTAGCTGCTGCAACGAAAGGGAAAGAAACAAACTCTAATCCTGCGTGTAAAGTCGGAAGATGCAAAATGTGCAGCAAGAGGGCGCATACATTCCTCCTTATATACGATTAAAAATTTGCTATCTTTATTAATTACAAATAATTAATTAGCGAGACCCGCTACAATTAGCCATCTGGCGGTTTTTTGCAACTCCTTCGTAACATTATGCTTATCTCGCAGACATTGGCCTATTTGCGGCCAAATAAATAGCAGCCTGCTGCCTTCTCTCAACTTTCACGTGCGTCTGCGTTTCAGCAGATACCCCCATTTGTTTTATCCATGTTCTCGGGAGAAAGTGCGTCCAATCACTGGAGTCTTTCAATGACATTTCACCAAATACATCTTTAGATGCTTTTATTAACTTAAAACTCTATTTACTCATCATAACCATATCGCTTTTTTATCTGTGTGTTGTGCAAATTGTATATTCGCGAATGGCACATTCGTGATTATAAAAACTGTTGAGCCTTGCTCAAGGCTCAGTAGTGGATGTAGTTTCCAGTGCAGTTGTGGCAAATCTGCCAATGTAGCGATGGCAGATGATCTTGACATCTTACGACGATAAAGTGAACAAAAGAGTAGCTGATGCCAGACAGGCATGTGCAAGCACGTTTTGGCTGGTAGCAGACTAACTGGGTCACCCTTGTATCAAACGTTAGCTTTAACTGCGAAGACCCCGGCTGCTACTTGGATCTGGCACGACTGCGTGGGGTGGAGTACGTCACCTGGGAGGCTGCTGACAAGCTCCACCCAGAAGACGAGGTGAACACTTTCTGCCTTTGACCTTGTGGCTGCTCAGCACGTGGGCCCCTCTCTGTACAGTCCCCAAGCGCCAGCTGCATTGACGTGGCCAGCCAGCGTTTGTTTGCTACCAGCTTTTACGCTGGTAGCAAACAAACGTTCCAAACTGCCCTCTGCAGTGGACACTAGAGCATAAGTTCTCCAATTGAATTCCTAGGAACCCAGCGGTTCTTTAGAGGTAGAACCCTTATGCGATCCTCAGGATACCCCCATGTCGAAGCTTTGCAGAGTACCCTCCTGGGTTCCCCATGTTCCCAAATTTCCTCGACCATTCCTGTTCCCAGGTAAAGTGTTCCACTTTAAGTGCTAGTTGAGCAGGTCTGAGCCACTCACTGATGCATAACTGTGAATCGGGCACTTCCTAGTATATCCACATTATTGTTTACAAAGTCTGTAGACTTCTGCACCGCTTCATTGTGTCAGTCGTTCAAAGCAGATCTGGGTTCCTCGGGACCAAAAAGTTTGAGAATGCCCGGCTTAGAGTACTGTCAACATCCCTGGCTCGTGAAAGCTGCCATTTTGCTGCCTAGTGCAGGGCGGGTGCAATTCGTGATTGATGACTCAAACCGGCCAGTTCTCGATCAACGGTTTTCGGGCGGAAAGAAAGTGAATTTCGAGCCGCAAATTGTGTTCCGGGTAGAGTGGCTCTTGCATGTCATGTACAACTAAAAACCTGGGCGAGCATAAATACCCTGTCAGTGTCCAATTAAGGGTGAAGGTGGTTGGTCACAATGTTGATATGGTTTTAAAACTGAGCAAAAACACAGAGGACCAGTGGAAGAAAAACACGGACACAGTGCTGATTTTTAAAATGTTGTAGTTACAATTGGAAAATCTATTTCTGCATGGTGCAGCAAGTTAAACATAAAGAGAACAGTACAGACACAAAAGCAATAAACCGGATAACATTCTCCCCTCATGCCAACACATGCCTACACATACTTAACCAGCTCCTTATAAAATCAACCTCGTCACTTGCTGTTAATCAATGCAGCCAGGGTCATTAAAACAATTTCAGCCAATAGCGTGCCCTTATTTTTGCCCTATTTTTACCAACTAACGACCAAACTCCCTACATAAATGGCTCTGGACGATAAAACACACTGGTGCCATCTGTTGGGCAGCTGTGGAACACCTTCAGTGTCCGCGTAGTTCCCCTTTTCTTCGAGCATCATGCTTTCTTTCTTGGCTCGAAAAACCTTCGACAATGTTGTAATTGATAATTTTTCGTAGATAGAGTATGTACATTTGACCTGGCAAACGCTGCAGAACATTTGCTCTAGCGAAATGTAGTTCTAGGGTCACTTCGTAGATGACGCCAGCGTGCTCTCCCTTGTAAGTGCGAACTATATATAGCTCGGTCCTAAGTAAACACTGGCATTTGAATGGGCCCTAACTGCTCGCTGGATTCTTGCTGACAGTGTCGCAATCTTCTTCCCTAGGGCCACCATCCCACCCTCGGAGCCCACGCCAAATTCACCAATTACCGCTTCGACGTCGGCGAGTTTCTCCGGTTGTTGAGGAAGGCTGTCGACCACGTCCAAGCGTCGCGACCTCGCAGCAGAGCCCCTTCGCGATCGTCGAGTGTCGTACATGACGAAATGTGACACCGGCAGTTGCGACACCAAAGGCATCCATTGGAACGATCTGCTTCTGACCGCTGCTCATGGTTTTAACTGTTTGTGGGACGAGACCTCATGGCCTTATTGAGGCCGTCGTGCCACAAAGAGGAACCTGCAGGCCAAGGTGTCTGACAGAATCTCGTAGAGACCCCACGTGGAACTGCAAGAAGAAAGCACGAAGTGCGTCCACGAGTGTAGCTATGGTGCCTGGAACGCGTTTCCGACAGGTGTGCTTACGTCCTCGCTTGTGGCCTCTCGGTTGCCTCCCGATGACGTCGCGCTCAACTCATGCTTTTTCCCTCCTACGGTCCTGGCGGTGTTACAGCGGCGCTGGTAGTCGTGGCAGATGCCCGTTCTGCTTCAAGTTGCTCTTTTTGCATTGTATTCTGCAGAAACTTTGGCAGCTACGAGTCGGAACGCTGCGACGACGACGCTTGTCTTAGCTCGTCATTTTGGCCGGAACTTGTATGACCAACCGCCAGGATTGCAACGTCCGGCAGCAGCTGCGACGCGATACTTGGGGACTACTTTGATTGCGCGGGCTGCATGGGGCACTAAACGCACCAGTCGAAGATGCCTTCACACCCTAGCGTGGCTGTTGCAGGTCGTCGAGTGAGGGGAACCACGTTTAAAGTACTATAGCGGGCATTGAAACACTTCTGTGGGTGTCACTGGAATATGCGAGCTGACCCTCTAAGTGCAGAGTGACTTAATCTGCAAGTATCCGTACCGCAAATTTGATTTTTTAACTAAAAACGGCCATGTAAAGTGCAGAAGACTGGGGACTTGGCTGAGCAGCTTGCTGGATTTTAGCTGCCAAACCAAGTGCTTTGCAAAAAAAGAGCTGATGGAATTTAATCGTGTCATATGCATGCTTCAATGCCGTGACAAGGTGTCGTACTAATCATGATGTAGGAAATCCGAGACTGGTAAAAGCAGAGAAACTTGGTCGAAGAAGAAAGACAGGGGAAAAGTATGTCTCAAGATGTACTTTTCTGAGACATACTTTTCCCCTGTCTTTCTTCTCCGACCAAGTTTCTCTGCTTTTACCACAGTCTCGGGTTTTCTACATCATGATCAATATCCACCAGCTCGCCTGCGCACTCACTGTTTATTCATTGTCGTACTACTATGAAGTCTGTTTTTCAGTCAACTTTTCGTTCACTACACCCTGTGATACTAGAGGTTTTTACAACGAGGCAGTTGGAAGGTGTACTTTTACAGCACCTGCTACGTCATAAATGTGAAATTCTCAATAAAAACGAGCCTTATTCTCAATAAAAATGAGATGTTATTCCCACGGTGACTTTACGGTTGCCTTCCAGTTGTCCCTCTTGCTTGCACGCAATGATGCAAAACCACAATGGCCTAAACCTCCAAGTAAGTATGTTCATTTTGGTTCGGGCTAGCACATATTTCTAGAGCATTTCGATGAAAGTATAGGACAGTCCAAGTTGGAAATCAGGAGTGTGATAACAGGTACACCCCACTAACAACTGCTTACTAATTATTAGTAGCTCGCCAGTTTTGTCATGGGTATGGACAAAAACTAACAGTTTCTTATTATAGAATCGTAATAAGAGCATTTGTATTGGCAGGCTAAAATATGTTCTAAGTAGTACAAACTTGTCCAGAGCAAGGATAAACTCGTGTCCTTGGTGCGCTATTTTGAAGACTGGTTGAGATCCATGTATTGATGGCACCGAATAATACATCTGGCAGGGTAGGCCATTTGATGCTCTTGCAAAGCATGAGAACATGTTTTGCAAGACCAGGACATTGGTGGATTTGGACGAGAAACAAACAATGCATCTCTTCACTAACACAGAAAAACTAGAACGTGGTTGGTTTTGCTTCTGCACAATTGCACAAAGTACTGACTGTGTGTGTGTGTGGCACTGTGGACTCTGAAGGAGGGCAGTTAGAAAAGTTGAAAAGTAAATGCATAGGCACTTCCTTTGTTAACTGAGGTAAAAACAGATCAGTTGGTAACGTTTAGCTCGTTTTGGGGAGGGGGGGGAGGTCGTCGCAGTTAACCATTACTAACATTTAGCTAGGAATTGTTTTTAAGGGGGAGGAGGTGGGTGTTACGCCAAGCTCATTTGTTTGCTTCTCGTGCAGGGGTTGCGGTGACATTGGGAAGCCGAGTTCTGATTTACTTGATTGGAAAAATAGTGGGTGGGCCTCAAGGCAGCTAGCGTTGAGGTCTACCCACTATCCTTCCAATCAAAGTCAATCAAAACTCTGGTGTGCTAATGTCACCGCAACCCCTGCGCGCGCAAATAGCAGACAAACTTGCGCTCTGCTTACCTCGATGGCTTGGAGGTAGGAAGCTTCTGGAGGTGAAATGATGCCACCAGAAGTGAAGCCGGGTGGGTCTTCCGGTTTGGAGGGATGCCCCAACGATGACCAAAAACCAAAAGACGCTTGAATGAAAAGGAGCTGATTGGCATTTTGGCCAGGTGTTTTTGGCCACCCTTAGGGACATATCCGACTGACTGGGACCTCTACTTTCTGAGTGGGCTTGCGCACACCAGCTCTGAACACGTGTAGTGAAAGCTCGCTGCAGAATCCAGGGATCCTGGGTTCAATCCCCACCCCTGCCCGTGTCGATCTGGATTAGCATGGTAGCGGTGTGCGGTCGTGTATTCCTGCTGCATGATGCACATTAAAGACCCCAGGCTAGCAGTTGTACAGGTTGCGTCGCATCTACAAAAGGGTAACAATGCCACCATGTTTCTGGCAGACTAACCCTGCTAACCCCCCACTGTATAAGCAATTAACGCAAGACCCCTTTTGAAATACTGTCCTCTGTTGGCAGCTATGAAACCCTGCACAATGGCGGACTAAAACGTCAGGGCACACTGGAAAAAAACACCCACAGAAAAAGGTTGAGAGCGCGTAGTGACGTTGCACTTTCGACGCTGATTGATTCGTCGGCTCGGAGTGTTTGTCGCGCTCCGACGTTCGTTATCGTATGGGATGACTTGCACGTTCCTCGAAGCAGTTGTTCCACCATTACGCAGTGGTCCAACCTTCTGATAAACGGCACGTGACTTTCGAAAGGGGCCTATTACTTTTTTTTTTTTTCCTCTGCTCTTTGCCCTAGGGTGCCTTGCGCTTTTTGTACATTCTGTTTACCCCCCAAACGCGCCCACGTACTTTCGTTTTCCTCCGTCCTCAACCAATGACGGCGCGTGCCGCTGAGAGAAACGAACAAAGACTGAAACCAGAAGGCCAGAACAGAAGACTCGCAGTTTTCGCGTAGTCGTGGTTTTGGTAAACGAAGATATATTTCGACCACAAATACTTTTTATTGGCGCAGTGGACAACGAATTTTGTATGTATTCGCCGTCCCCACGTTCCCACGCCGAATTTCGATTCGCTTACGTCAAGTTTAAGCCAAGGAACTCCGTTTCGTCAGCGAACGCTGGGTAAGACTCGATTTAACTGGAATCCAATCCGATCCACATCCGATCTCTCGACAACTGTGTGCGTCGTTTTTCGCGTTCTTGGTGGTGGTCCATCACTTACTTTGCAAACAGCTCGTATGGCCTGTTCCCATTTGTGGTCCGCATGATGGACGTGTTAAAAGCCGAAATAGAACGCAAGCGTCGTCAACTGAAAAGCAAAGATCTCATCGTGAGTTGTCCTGCCTTTGCACCGTTTTCTTGGATCCGTGACTACTGGGAGAACCTGTCACCGAGATGTTCAAATTGTGATTTGCACGGATACTTTTCTGTTCCGAATGAGGGGATAAATGATCCTAGCGTTAGGTAAAATATTCGGACCAGTCGTGCACAAGACGGCCATATTTGTCGTCGTCTGCCTGGCCGGCTCCGTAGGTAGGGGGAACGAAGGTAACACTGACGCCGATGGTTGCATTCGACGTGCAGGGGCCGAACAAGAAATACTTCAAGCGTGAAGAGCTCATCAAGAAGACCGAGGAGGAGTACCTGGAGCGGCGGAGGGCCAAAGGTACCGACGAAGGAGACGATCAGGTGACGATGGGGCTTTTCTCGCAGGCTGCTTTGTTCACTGCCCCGCTGGACTCGCTGGCAGCCGAGAAGCGGTTGCTGTGCTCTGCTAGAGGCTGGTTCACGCATTCGACACTGCTTACGACCGAGTGCGTTAAAACTTCTAGTGATCCCTTGCATATGTATATATGTATGTATATTTGCGGCGCAATCTCTTTGTATCGAGTCTTGAAAGACACGCCAATAAACTGAAAAAAAAAGGACAGCAACGGAAGAGAATTGGTCAGCACGTGTGTCCAAAGTTCGCCAACGGTCACTTTCGCACAGTTAAAGTTAATCAGTTTACATGACACCATAATCTTGGTCACGCCCCTGATTTTTCAGTCGAGTCTGCCACCATGCCTCGAGCCTCTGCTTGGAGCATACTACATGGATGTGTTTGTTGGTGAAACCAAGTGCCTGCTCCAAGCGGGCACCCACGACAGGCATTGGGTGTAGTGCCCTGCACGCAAGCGCACTGCATACCGTTTCAGTCACACTGCCATCGTACTTGCGTCGGTATAGGCGGGTACTTAGGGCACCACCACGGGCCTCAATAAGCAGTCGACTGCCTAGTGTGTTCCCTCAGAAAGTCACCGGGGCAATCTCCGTCTTCAGAGACGCACACATGCGCATGGAAGGATGTTGTAGCATGCCGCTCATCCAACGGTCCCTCTCAACCTTCTTCACTTCCTCCCGCACTGTGCTCATCCACTCCTTTTCTGTTTGAGGTTCAGCGGCCAAGCTGAAGATCTCACGAAAGAACACACTGGCGCCATCTATCGGGTAGCCGTGGAACCCTTGCAATTTCCGTACATTTCCTTATGTTTTTTTTCTCATAATTTTTTCTTTATTGGCTCGAAACACTTTTGACAGTGTTTTAAACGACCGTTTCTAATAGGTATACATAATTTGATCTCGTAAATACGGCAAAAACCTTCGCTCTAGGGAAAGGCAGTTCCAGGGTCACCTCATAGATTGCACCAGTGCGCCATTGCATTTTCTCGACGTACGAGAACGCAAAAAGTTGGTCGTAAGCAAACGCAGGTGTGAATCAGCGTTTAGTGTGGCTCGAGGAACCTCGCCTTCAAAACGTATGCCTGGCCCGCTTTTCTTGCCCACACCGCCATTGCAGTGCCTTCGGTTTTGGGCAACTTTGAGGAGCAGCCAAGTTGTGCATTTCTCAAAAATTTCTCTAAAGGTTTGTGGCCAGTTTTAGGTGTTGCTCACAGACTTTCTTGCCTAAGCATCAAGCCCTGCTTCTTGCATATTACCGATATTTTTATTTCTTGGCAACTTCCTTTACATCATAATCCTCTAGCACACACAAAAAAAAAAAGGGTTGATTAAAAGTTGATTGCGACACTCCTATATCGCCTCTTGATGGTTTGCGAATGAGTCCGACTTCGAATTTCCAAATGGGCCGAGGTCGTCACAGTGAAATTAGTTTTGACTGAGTGCACTTCAGTTCGCTGTGAAATGGTGGAACCGAGTGTTTTGCTGCCATGGGGTAGGAAGAAGTGGAAGTGACATACCTGCTCGAGCCAGCCTACAAAAAATATCAAGTGAAGCAAGAAGTGGAGGTTGGTGGGAATGCTCTCAAGGGTGACCAAAACCCAGCCAAAACTGCTGTTGACACTGGTTGGCACTGAATCAGCCATCCTTTCTGTCCAATAGCGTCTTTTGGTTTTGGTCATGGTTGGGGGCGTGTCCCTCCAAACCAGAAGCTACCTGCCTCCATAATTAAAATATGGCAACCAACCAATTCCTAAACATGTAGGAGCCCTACGTTTCGAACCGACTCGGTTCTTCGTCAGGGGCGACTGTGGCCGTTGAGGAGCGACGTTTTTCGATCTTCTTTTTCTTTTCTCAGGGATGTGGCGCATTTCTCGATCTTCTTCTTTCATGAATATGGCGAAGCCCGTTCACATACACTGTTGGTAAAGCACCAAGGCACCTATTTATGTTGCCTGGCGTCGTTTGAATATGCCAGGACTCGACGAAAAGCCTATGTCGGTTGTTAGTCTCTGCGTCGATAATGCTGGTGTTGTCGAAGTCAATTCGGTGGTCTTTGACTTCGCAGTGCTCGGCGACTGCGCTGCGCTCGTGGTCGAGCTTGCGAACGTCGTTTTTGTGTTGGCGTATTCTTTCATTGAAATTCTTTGTCTCGCCGATGTCTCGCCGATAAACCACGCCCTGCGTTTTTAAGAAAGAAAAGAAAAAAAAAGAAAAAAAGAAAGAGAAAAAACGCAGGGCGTGGTTTATAAGATCCCTTGTGCAGATTGTCCAGCCACTTACATCGGCGAGACAAAGAATTTCAATGAAAGAATACGCCAACACAAAAACGACGTTCGCAAGCTCGACCACGAGCGCAGCGCAGTCGCCGAGCACTGCGAAGTCAAAGACCACCGAATTGACTTCGACAACACCAGCATTATCGACGCAGAGACTAACAACCGACATAGGCTTTTCGTCGAGTCCTGGCATATTCAAACGACGCCAGGCAACATAAATAGGTGCCTTGGTGCTTTACCAACAGTGTATGTGAACGGGCTTCGCCATATTCATGAAAGAAGAAGATCGAGAAATGCGCCACATCCCTGAGAAAAGAAAAAGAAGATCGAAAAACGTCGCTCCTCAACGGCCACAGTCGCCCCTGTTGAAGAACCGAGTCGGTTCGAAACGTAGGGCTCCTACTTGTTTAGGAATTGGTTGGTTGCCATATTTTAATTATTGTATTCCCCAACCAGAAAGATTTCTCTCAAAATGTTTAGTTTCATACCTGCCTCCATGCTTGCTGCACACGCGCTGCCTGTTGCCGACAGATGGATGCATGCATATGGCTGAACCCCTCCGATTGGGCAGCAGTTTGCGCCACCTAGCCAGTGCTTGTGCCCCATCTGCTGCAGTGCCCCCTGTGGGCATCTTTTGCAGGCCTCGACGTCCCTCTCCGTTGCCAGCTTGTTGAAGAGGAAACAAGAGGATGAGCGAGTGCTGCCCAGGAAGGAGGTATGCCTCCCCCTTCAGCTGTGCTGCTTCTCATGAGCTTTTATACATCATTCTGATAACTGCCTACTGTGCACTGTGCCACCTTTGTCTGCTGGGCGGTAGAAGTTGTTCTAAGTACGTGCAGCAGCTCCCGTGCTAAATACCAGATGCCACACACGTGTCCGCAGCCCGTGGCTTTGGCATTTTTAGCCCGGGTGACGGCTAATGAAAAAGTGTACGGTAGTTTTAAACTAAGCTCGAGAGTTTGTTCACTGGATGGACTCGGTGGCACACTCTTCCTTTTGAAGGAACTCAATAAACCAGTTCGTCAACAGATTGCAGTGAGCACAGGGGCATAATCAGATGGTGCATGCTTTTGGTAGAAATATGGAAGGACAAGTTAACTGCCCAAAAAAATACAAAAAAACAAAACATCCCTTATCATTGTCCTTGCTTATTAAAATCACCAATTGACATGGTGGCCCACTGCAACATTTATTTTGGCAAGATGAAGGATTTAAAATGTAAGTCAGTTTTAGTTACTTTTCCTTCCACCAGGTAATAAATGCCTGAGTGGCCTACATATCGCAGAAAAAAAAGGGAGCTTACCTGGATGTTTGTTTATAGAAAAGAAAAAAAAATTTGAATTCTTTTTCCTATGTGGAGTGCAGGTTAGTTTGCTTTCTGCACACGGCTTTAGATGATGTCAGTATGCTAAGCTCTTATTGGCTGGTTGAAAAAAATAGTGGGTAGAACCGGAGGCGCCTAACATTGAAGTGTATCCACTATCCTTTGAATCGTAGCTCGGCGTTCTTTTGACATCACCGCAACTCCTTTGCAAGAAGCAAACGACTTGCTCTCTGCATTGATTAAAATGAGCTCATGTTTTGACACTTTCAAATAACAAATGCGTCGCCTACGGGCACCTCTGTAGGAAATCGTAGCGCGATTCAATAAGACAGTGGTTCCCAGCCATGGATGTGTCGGGGACCCCTTGCGGACCACTTTCAGTGATGGGGGACCCCTTCCAGCGGGGGGGGGCGGGAAGGGAGGGAGGGGGAGGGGGAGAGGAGGGTGGGAGGGGGGGGGGGGACGTTAGTAAGTTAACACATCTGGAGCATGAAACAGGTGCCTTTTATTGCTACATAGCAGAAAAACATAAAACAAAGGTGCCACATCACTTCATTCTGGTCAGTTCATCAATACGTGGCACACTCGCGCTTCAAACTACAAAAAACGTGCCAACTAAAAAAAAATTTTGTTGAGGGTTTTGTGGACCCCAGAAGTGGCTTCGTGGACCCTCTGGGGTCCGCAGACCCCTATTTGGGAACCACTGCAATAAGAAATCGATTTCTGCTGTCCCTTAGAAGGACCAGGGCGTCAGCTGGTTCAAACCATAGTTTAGGAATGGCCGAGACAATAGTGGACCTTTGCGGCATTTTCCGTGATAGAAAAACGGGTGAAGGAGAAGGAAATAAAGTTGGCTTATATTCCGCATACTGTCAATTTCTGTTGCCAACTGGTCCACTTTCTGTTCCGACTCCAGGTGGTCCGACGGCTGCGAGAGCGGGGCGAGCCCGTGCTGCTGTTTGCCGAGACGGAGACGGAAGCATTCCACCGGCTTCGGCGCCTGGAGATCCTCGAGCCGGAAGTGGACCGGGGACTGCGCAATGACTTCCAGGAGGCCATGGAGAAAGTGGACCAGATCTACCTGGACGAGATCCTCAAGTCGCAGGGCAAGACCGAGGACGGAAAGTCCATCCACGACGTCAAGGTGGACAGCGAGGGCACCACCATCGACGACATTCAGGTGATCCGGTCGGCGCGTCCGTCGCGGCGGTTTGCCGACAGCCGAAGGCGCTTCGTGTCTTCGCGAGAAAAACAGGTTTCATAGTCCTTCGACAAAAGCATGAACTAGTGAGGGAATATTCTTTAACAGGTTGTCAGCATTGCTTTAGTACTTCCTGAAACATGACATAATGCTTCCTAAACTCCGTTTCACTTTAAGTTACCGCAGACGACGCTGCGATTTGAAGAACAGCGCCAAAAGTGCGTCGTCATGGCGCTCGTTTTCTTTTTTGGTTTGTTATTACTGGCATGCAGGAAAAAGTGCAGGAACACGGCACGTTCACTGTGTGTGACTGTGGTCAAACTTAAAGTGCCACGGTGTAAAAGTTTTTAAAAACATTTCTGCACAATGACGCCAGTTAGCCCTTTTGTCTCATTTGTCAATTAACACATTATTCTTTCAACTTGCTAATGGTTTGCATTACCTTTGTTTCACTGCAACTACTTTCTCCAATTTATTTGTAGTTGCGTGCGGTAATAGTTGGGCAGTAATTCTTTGCCGAGTTTCCGATAATTTTGGTACGATGCATCACAGTTGTCTGGATGTTGCTTTTATATAAGTAGTGCTTTTCGTGACATGGAAACATCCGAAACAGCAGCGAGGTGGACAGTGGGGCCCGCTGGTTCATCTAGATTATTAGAAAAATAGCAGTTTTCCTTGAGCCAAGGCTACTGCAAGGAGCAACCCATGCAGTAGCCCTTCACACGAGGGGGGCACCGACACTTGAATTGGCTCTCTGGAGACGTAGCATTTGCTGTTTGCCAAGTTACAGTGAAACGGAGTATAGTGGCAGGGCATGTGTGCTAGCTGCTGCTGGTAAACACGTTTCTGCATTCGTTCAGTTGCTCTTGCGAGTTTTTGAACCTAGATGCATCCTAAAAACCCGCTGACACACTCGCGACTGCTTACCACAAAGTTCTTGCGATCTCTTACGACGAGAAAGCACACTGGCATGTTGGCAACATCCATAAGGTGGCCCTGGAACGGCAGTACACCAGAGCGAAGGCTTTGCGGCATTTGTGAGATCATATGTACATACAATCTACAAGAAGAGGCGTTTTTAACACTGGTTGAAGTTTTCCAAACCCCCCCCACCCCCCCCCCCCCCCAAAAAAAAAAAAAAAATTATGCACAAAAAGATACAGAAACTGCGAGTGTTCCATAGCTGCCCAATAGATGGCGCACTGGTGACTGCATACGACTGTTAGACTGCCGTATGCAGTCGGATGTGCGTTAAGTAGCCTCGATGCGATGGCATAAGTGCTTGAAGCACCTGCGCTAGGAGGGAAGCGTGGTCCTTTGAAAAGAAGCGTCAATGCCGTTCTTTGCATTGCAACCCCCGCGCAGAACATAGCCAACGAGCTGGGGGAGCGGCGGAACAAGGGCAAGGACGCGGAGATGATCCTGACGGCCCTCAAGTTCATCCTGCAGCTGTGGGGGGAGAAGCTGAACTCGCGGGCGGAGGCGGAGAAGACCTCGATGCGGGGCAAGATGTCCTCCGCGACGTACAACCAGACGCAGGCGTACCTGCGGCCCCTGTTCAAGCGGCTGCGCAAGAACACCATCCCCGAGGACATCCTCGACCACCTGGTGCGCATCGTCAAGCACATGCTCCAGAGGGAGTATGTCCGGGTGGGTGCCCATTCTCTTTCTCTCTCCTTCTCCCTCTGGCACTCACCTCTCTGACTTTGAGTGTTTTCATTTCGGCCCTTTGTGGGAAAGGGATTAGGGGAGAATGCGAGGCTAGGCAACGTTTTATTTCCGTCGATTCTATCATTCGAGAGTTGCACTTGCTACATACCTTGGAAAGGGGTCTCCTGCTTTCAAGATGCTCCTCCCCACGTTTTAATTTACCACCTTCCGCGTGTTGTTTGTTCCCGCCCTTTGTGTAAATCATGTAAGTGGCACTCGAAATAATTAATATAATTTTATATTAACACACAGAGTGCAAACGAGTGATTACCAGCTTAATAAAGCTTGGGTTTGGGCTAGTTGGTTTTTCATTATTTTTTGTGTTGCGCTGCTAAAGTTTACAATCTAGGACGAATCTAGATTGTGAACTAGAGGTGTGCAAGTGTCATCCTTCTTCATCCTAGATTGTAAACTTTAGCGGTGCAGAAAAAAAAATGATTACCAGCGTTTTTGTTTTTTCTTACAATTCAAAGCATACCATAAAACAATACAGCGCGGCAGAAAGAACTTGTTTGAAGTGCTTCGCATCTCGCACGAATACCTTGCACAACTAAAATGTGAGAAAATGCCGACGTTATTTTCGTGCTAACAGCATTGCTTGTGTACACGCTTTAAAGATGGGTTATCTAGCTAAAACCGGATGTTTCCAGTCAAAATCATTCGAATTATCCCCATAGAAACCACACATTAGAAGCGGCATCAGTCCGTTGAGACGGCAGAATGCCAAGTAGGCTCGTGGTCCGGCTTCCCACGCGAGCGTGGCCCGGCGAAGGCGCGACGGAAGGACTTTCATTGGGCTCGCAGGCCAACGACGCCTACCTGCAGATGGCCATCGGCAATGCCCCGTGGCCCATCGGCGTCACCATGGTGGGCATCCACGCTCGGACAGGTCGGGAGAAGATCTTCTCCCAGAACATCGCCCGTATCCTTTGGGGAGCCTGCAGCCCCACCACGCGTCTTTTTTATGATGGCTGAGCAAAGTGACTGCTGCTTTCGGTTGCTGAAGTTGCAGACGCCAGCGCACCAGCTCGAACGGCGCTTTCCTTCCACAAGCACGTGCATGCGACTGGTAGGCACGGAGCCCGATTTGCATCTTCCACTTCGCTCGCGGCAGAGCCACTGTGCTTTGCTTAGAGTATAGACACTTTGTATCCGAATTGTTGTGGGCGCCGCTATTTTGTTGCCCGGTGGAGGGTGGGCACAATCGGCAGTAATTACCGATTTGAAAGTGCGACTTCCTCGGCTTTTTATGCGGTGTCGGGAAGCTTGGGCGGCATCGTTGCGCTCTGTTTCGGACCGTTTTTGACGTTTCCAGAGGACAGGAAAGCGTTCCGCAACTTCAGATGAAGCCTGGGACGATTGACGACACTAAATTTTAAGATGACCGGGGTGTCGTCACTTCCAAAGCGTGGCATACTTGGTGGCTCTGGTGCATGCATAAGGTGAAACAATCTGTGGCTAATGCTGAATGCTTCGCTGGTCGGTTCTCGACGGCGTTTTTCCTTGACCGAGGTTCCAACGTGCGGCAGACGTCCTCAACGACGAAACGCAACGCAAATTCATCCAGGTAAGGCCTTTGTGAAAGGGTATCCACCCGTTTGTAACGTCCACCGTGAAGCCCTGCACGAACGCCCTTCCCCGAAAGATTGCCCCTCTAATTTTTTTGGCCGAATATCTACAACATAAAAGTTCAGAAACGTCGCAACATAAAAGTTCAGAAACTTCGGATATCGCGCGGCGTTTGACGGGAATCGCATCGACCGTGCAAATTGCGGTATGCATGCAACGCACGAGTTCGTAGCGGGTTCTTGCGCTTGTTGTCCACAATGTGCGCCTGTACGTGATAGTGGTTTTCGTGATGCCAGAATTTGCGGCGGGTTCTCGCGCGTGTATTGTGCCATGAAGCACAAATCTGCTGCCTCTGCAGTCTGTAATATGCGTTCCCGTAACACCCGAGTTTCTGGTGAATTCATGGAATGTGAACTAGCCGCGTCTGCGACCTACGGTATCGGTTCCCGTTTCACATGGCCCGTAGCGAGCACCTCAATGTTTATCGCCAACTTTTAATGAAATTTTGCTGTTTCGGTACTACTGACCCCATATTTTTGGCCGTTTATCTCTTTGTTTTGGGTGGGCATTCTTACGGGATCCCACGGTGCTCTCTCGCAGGCCCTGAAGCGACTCATGACGCAGTGCCAGCGACTCTTCCCCACCGACCCTTCCCGATCCGTCGAGTACAATGCGTGACGGACACGGTTTTGTGCGGCAATGTGCGGACATCTTGCGGGACGTGTGGCCCACTTGTGGAGAGACGACTTGTTTTACCAACATCGCTCTAAACGACCGGATCTGAACACGAGGCGAAAAGTTCCATTGTGTTCTCTCGACCTCTGGAAAACAAGCCTGCTCAGTTGTTTCCCCTTGGGCAGCAACGTAGGACGAAGGGAAGTCGTAAGGCAAATTCGTTACAGGTTCGCTAGTCGGACGTAAATAATGCAACATCTTTTAATAGACGCCATAAATAAAGAAAATATGTTGCTCTCTGAAAACGTTTGGTGTCAGGTCTTTCCTTCCACGGCATTCTCGAAGTGATCCAACAGCTTCTTGATGTTTTTGCTGAAATACGGGTCAAGGAAATGTCGCTTTCATCTGTATGCAGTTACACCGTCATATAACGACTCAAAACTCGGCGGGGAATTTTCCAGTTTCTGAGCATTGTGCATAGCATTTAATTAGAGCAATCTAACGCAAATAAAATAGTGTGAGGTGGACAAGGACAAGCCAGTAGGACCGACAAGCACTGCCTTGCTTGTCCCAACTGCCCGTCTCGTCTTACTTTGTCCTTGTCTTGTTTTATCTGCATTGAAATGCACCAACTAGCCGAGGAACATACCTTACTGGCAAAATCCAGTTGTGAATCAGCTGTCTTCAAATTCATAATAAAAATGTCGGCACATTAAAAAAAAATACAGGAGCTTCTCAGAAACTGATGGCAGAAGGCAAGTGGGAAAGGATACACTTGGTTTGCCAGGCTGTACAGGGGCTTCATGGAGTTGCTCACTTCTTCGTGTTTGGCCATCAGCTGGTACATTGCCTGGAAGCAGCATCGCCACAAATGGAGGAACACTACGAAGCATTGGCATCATGACCCCCTCGTTCTTAGGTGGTCGTCACAAAAGTGAAAAGTTGCAGCATGCGTGAGAAGAAGGCTGCTTCCTATGTGCCGACACATTGCAGGGAAGCACATAGTGGATTGTCAGAGGTGTTTCCAGGCACTAAAAGGATTGTGCAGAAAAAATTAATTTGCCCAAATAAAATTTTTTTTTTTTTTTGCTTTTTTTATTTTAAGTTTTTAGTATTCTGAGTTTTTTTAGTTCACTGACAAGTTTATTATTTACATTGTACGACATACTGCTGAAAAAATAGCTCACTCGAAATGGTTGTCGCCACAATTTTACAAAGAAAAACCCTTGTGGAAATTTTCCCACAAGGGTTTCCCACAATTTACATCTACAGTAAAACCTCGTTATAACAAAACGGGATATAACAAACTAATGGATATAACAAAGCAATCATAATTCCCCTTGCTTGCTAATAGTGGGAAGAAATGGACATTGGCTATAACAAACTAATGGTTATAATGAAATAATTATGACCGCTCCTTCAACTTTGTTATAACGAGGTTTTACTGTACTTCATATCCAACCTGTACTGTTCCGATTTCGAAACAAGGACTGTGGACACTTTGACCAGACCAAAAATGGGACTTGCTGACCACAATTTTTTTTTTTTTAATGTAGGATACTGAGAAGGAACTTCCTCGAGGTTCATGTTTAACTAAGAGACCAGGCTTTCACAGGGCATCTTGACTTAAACAGCGCAAAAAAGTCACGTAAGGAAGAGACAACAGGAAGGAAAGAGCGCTGTTTAAGTCAAGATGTCTATCCAACTCGCCTAGCAACTCATTTTGGTTTCACAGGGCACTGGATCATCATTGGTCATTGGAAGATACATGGTTTTCTCACTGCTAATTCCTTCCACATGTACTCACCTTGATGTTTGAGTCTGCCACATCGCACGTCTTGCACATTCCTCTTTCATACAGGCGAATGCAGTCGACGGTCATGGACGAGATCTGGAAGAACAAAAACCACTATTGCCGTTTGCTTTTAAGGTTGCGGTTCTCACTTTTTACATTGCCCCGGTGCAGCAAGCCCAGGGAAATGGCGTTTGCTGGCTGGTTTATATTGGTCCCGTTGCCTTCAGTACAAGTGTCTGGCCAATGGCACCCAGATGGCAAGATTCGCGCATTACGTCACTGTTGGATCCCCAACCCATGGCGAAGATGGCAAAGCTCAAAGAGAGAACTGGGAAAAGCGGTGATGTGTACGCGAGCTAGGCAGCACTGCATGGATCCACTACTGACAACTAGGAAAGGCGTAAGCGCTGCCTTCTAGGAGGGATGATCCCGACTCGCAGTGATGCGAGTTGGGGAAGTCGGCCAGGGAAGTTTTGGAGGCCCAGCATGTACCCGGTGCACAGGGTTCGGCCCGGCGATGCCGACGCGCCTTGTGGCAACCGTACTTGTGGGTCGAAACTATTTGCCAAGCTCTCCGAATATATGCAGCCTCTGGTCACGATCCCGGAGCAGCTCTAAAAATAACTTGTGTTGCCCGTTCCTAGGCCCTTGCAGGATCTACAACATTGCAAGTAGAGTGGCCCCCACACTTAACGCCGCCGTGCGGTTGCTTAGCGCAGAATGACCACAGGCAACTCTGCAATCTCGGCGGCTTGTACGCCTCCCGGGGAAAATACCAGAGATGTCTCTTCCAATTACCGCACACTTTGAACGGCAGCCACGGCAACTCTCAAGCCTGACCCTTTGACGGTTGTTGCCGTCCACGTATGGTGGCAATTACAGATTTGAAAGTTTAAAACCGTCCCCCGTTCTGGCTGACGAGCAGCCAGAAAGGAGGAAAGTGCTTCTCAATTCCTCCTTTCCATTAGACAAAGAGGGAGACCTTCTTCCCTTCTGTGGGGAGTAGCTCAAAGACTTACTCCTGCAAGAGGGAGAGAAAGGAGTCCGAGAGGGAATGGAGAGAAGGAAACCATTATTTTTCCCGATAGAAGACACTTTTGTACGTCGGCCACTAACACTGTGTGCAGTGGCATTACGTTCGAGGTTCACTGCACACGAGTGTGCCAAAATATCGACTTGGGTGGAGTCCAAGAGCAACACCTGCCGACCAGGTTTAGACTGGTACAGTGTGCCCTGCAAGGGCACGAGGCACCAGACTCGGCAAAATCCAGGCACAATGCCCGTGGCAAGCATTCTGCGTGGATGCTGCCTCTGCAAGAGGTGGTCGGAGTCGAGGTACTGACACTGTGCATGTTTGCGCTGAGGCTCTGAAGCAGGGAGTCGACGGAAGCGGCCACGGTCCTTGCTTCGCCCTCCAGGTCGGCCAACACCGTGGGGTCCACGAGGGCAAGCTGCGGAGCGAGCAGCTGCTTGTACAGGCTGGGAGTGGAGGAGCGCGACGTCGGGAACGACGGCAGGCCCTCTGCGAATCGAGGGAGACTGCATGCATCACACACGCTAGCAGCACGGATCATTCGGGACTCGGTGGCTGGCATCTCGTTCCAAGTTTCTAGCATACTTAGCACTTGGTTACAGGCTTTAGATGAGCTAGATGGTACCTATTGCTAAGAGTGTAACTTCTTTGTAACTTAACATCTTTGTAACTAATAGTTCTTTTCCGTATATTGTTAGGAAGCTGAAGGCGACAGGGCAGTGGCACGCATGACCATCTCACATCAGGCCTCACATACTTGCCCAGTCTCCACAAATCCTGTCTGTTCTGTCATGTCCTGCACTGTCCTTTCTGCTACCAACAGCATAATCCTAACAATATGTGAACAGCCTTGGAAAAAGTCGATTATGCGCATGAAGAAGTGTACCAAAGCAAAGTTGTTAGTCAGTGGCTTTGTCCTGTTCCATCCTTTCTTCAATTTCTGTAAGATCAAGCTGACCCTTCACCAATGCCGAGAGCAAGTCGTCTGCTTCCTGTACAGGAGTTGCAGTGGCCTCAGAACAACACCAAGTTTTGGCTGGCTTTGGTTGAAAGGATAGTGTGAAGACCTCAATCCTAGGTGCCTTGCGTTCTACCCACTAGTTTTTGGAGCGCAGCTCTTAGGCACCCATTTCCTGCTTAAGCGTCATCGGCGTAACTGCACGGTGCATGATGGGTAAATTTCCCCGCTAAATTTAGTGGAAAACTTTTCCCGCTAAATGTAGCGAAAAAATTTCCCCGCCAAATTTAGCGTAAAAAAATTGCCCGCTAAATCTAGCGGAAATACTTCCCCGCTAAATTTAGCTGGGAATTTGTTCCGCTAAATTAAGCGGAAAATTTTGTCCTAAATGGGAGACAAGCAGGAGAGGAGGAGGGGCATAGCCTCCTCTCCGTACCTTCCCCTCCTCCTCCTCAAGAGCTGCGCTCTAATTCGGCGTTACAGGGAGTTGTAAGCGGCTTTCATTTTTTCAATCAGCCAATAAGAGCTTGGCGTTCTGATATCATATTGCAGCCCCTGTGCAAGAAGCAGACGAACTTGCACTCTGCATACTTAGGATATCACAAACTACTCCCATGCATAACAAGAGCACAAAAACATTCTCAGGATGACCCCCATGGCTTAATTCCTTCAAAATGAATGAACAAACTATAAGCATAACAACATACTCAACAGGCAAAGGAATCAATAACTGAATAGGCAAAAGATCCTGAGTGCTATGCAGAGAGCAAGTCGTCTGCTTCTTGGGCAGGAGTTGCAGTGACGCCAAGACGATGCTGAGCTCTGATTGGCTTTGATTGGAAGGATAGTGGGTAGACCTCAATGCTTGATGTCTTGAGGTCTACCCACTAGTTTTTTCAATCATCCAATGAGAGCTCGGCATTCTGACATCATCGCAACCCCTGTGCAAGAAGCAGATGAACTTCCACTCTCCATAGCGCTACATTTCCCTCAGCAGCACACAGAGAGAAAGCACAGCTATTTCCTCTCTCTTCATCGGAGCCTAATTTGTGCAACTAACCTTTTTAGTATCACATTACACCTAATGAGAATGCTATAAGCGACAGAGGTGACAGTACACACGCTTCCTTGAGGCACCTTTTGATACTGCTAAGGCCCTTCTACCTTTCACATTATAATAACCGTGCTACCGAAAACAGCCCCAATAATCCCTTTCCTTGTTCACATTTTTGCACGCTACCCTAATGGCTAAATAAATATCCCTAATAGACTACGTCTCAACGGTACCACCTTTATAGACCGAGTGAATTTGGGAAAGGCTTTGTGCCCCTTCGAAAACTATTTCCGGAGCTCACCCATGTCTCTCTGACCACTCTTTTCTTTGCATAGCCAGTTTTCACATAGGTGCTACGGGACAATTGGATGTTGTCCTCGTTCAGCTCTGCACAGGGATCCCTCCCTATTTTTAGGAACCTGTCTTTTGCGCGCTTGTTTTGTCAATCCCTTGCTATAGTTTCATGATGAAAATAATCCCTGGAGAAGGGGAACAAGGGGGACAAAGGACAAACATAAATCTCCAAAGTCTGCCTCGTTGGTATGCCACCAGGACCTGCCTTTCTTCCCGTTGCCACATCAATCCCAACTTTTGCCAATGCAGCATTGTGAAAGCTTGCCGACAAATCGTCTGTCTCGTGTTGGCGAGAGAGTTGTTCGAATATCCGCCGAGTGGGGACACGCAGCTAGAGAACCCTCTTCAGAAGGCAGCACCGGACCCACCTGCCAACTTGGTGACGGGGCTGCTCAGCTTGATCTTCTCCTGCAAGTCTTCGGCGACGAAGTTGACCATGTCACCCTCGTACGTCAGCGTCCCTTGAAGATCGGACAGACCGCTCGCCTCGCTGCCGTACCTCCCGTGCACCAAAGCGCCGTCTTCGAGCGCCTCTTCGGCACTGAGCATGGACGAGCACGGACTGGTCGCCTGACTGTCCGACACGGGCCGGCAGCGGGCCGACGACCCAGCCACCGGAGGCGACCTCAAGCCAAGCGTCTGCGGCCTCGGTTGGGCGCCGTCACGGTCTTCTTCGCGGTTGATTTCGTCGACCAGTCGGTTGATGCCCTGCGTGGCGTCTTGGACTTCGGCTAGGTCGGAGATCTCGCCCGGAAGCAGATCCCCGTCGTCGTCCTCGTCCAGACAGATCTCGCTGTAGGAGGCCGTCATGACGTCGTGAAGGTCGTCGTCGTCGGAGTCCGCGAGGTCGGGGGGCGCGACGGGTGACGCAGAGCCACTCGCCCCCCCGCCGTTGGCGTCCTCTTCATCGGCGGGACGTCGCGCCGCCGAGTTGTCCAGGTTCTCCAGACGAGGTGGTCTGTTTTCGACGCTCATGACTGTCGGAGACACCGCCTCTTAGCTTGAATCACGCTGAGAACCCCCCTGACTGTGCACTCCGCCAAGCATCGAATCATCAAACCGCATCAAATCAGCATCAAATGCATTGATCAAATGCGTCTGTGTTGCTGTTGGGATTGGATTGGATTGCGGCGGCTTCAAATGCTCCATCTAGCCAAACATGCACACACAGACACACACACACACAGACAAAGCTTTGAATATTATTTTTTTATATTAGTTACAATGTATCTTACTAATAGTTAATTGTGCTAATGACACTGATTTTCTTGGCACATTTCGTTTTGTGGCCAAGCAAAATGTGAAATCCAATCCAAGACAAAATAAAATTGCGCCTCTTTCGAACGCGCTCTCATGTCTTCCAACCTCCTTGTGCTATCGGGCTGCCGTGCTGCTTGCTATCGTGTCACTGTGAAATTCAAAGTTGGTTAGGCGTTTTGTGCGGTGGCAGCTTTGCTATAAACATAGGAGAATGCATATGCCTGAAGCAAGTAGTCTAGCTCATGTAAACACCACCAGAAAAAAGTTCTTGGGAACGTCAGACCGTCTTTTCAGTGTGGAGGACAAGCTCCTCCTGCAAAGTCCTCCACTCTTTCCACATGAGGAGAGCGAACGCTGGAGAGGAGGAAAGTCCTTCCTCATATCCTCTCCAGCATTCCCTCTGCTAAAGTGGAAAGAGCAGTGGGGGCAACTTGTCCGGCACTCTAAAAGCCGGTTCTCGCATGCAGCGAAGCGCTAATGCAGCACTGCTCACGTGTCGTCAGCTACTTATCGTCTGCCATGAGCAACAGTTTTGACGGTGGGATAAAGCTGGTGAACACTCCGGTAATGCATGCGCTTAGTGCGAGGTTAGCGCAATGCTTGTAGCGCTCTGCTGAATGTGTGAACAGGCCTTTAACGTGACACCAACTAGCTGTATCGATGGTGTTGACACTATCATAATTTCAGGCATGTCCATATGACAAGCCTCATCCTGGAGTGTCAGAGAGTCAGGTGAACTGCGCAAATTGGTGCTAGCTTTTCGCTTCAAGAAATAACTCGCATAGCCATGCTACCGAGCAAGTTCCATGCGCTCGTTGGAAGCTCAGAACCCTTGTCGTTCTAATCCCCTCGATTACAGAAATTCGCTCATGTGCTGCAGTAGTAGATCACTCTCGACATGATGACCCAGTTGTCACTGCTATGGAGATTGGACAACTTTAGCACACTCGTTCTTGCATTAATTGTCACTCTATTTCAAATGTAGTTCTATTGAAAAACAAAATGTAAAATGCTAAGGCTCGATTACCATGCAAAATCCTGAGGCTACATTGAAAGAGTACGACACTTTCAGGGCGGAAACCCTCGAAAATAGTTTTCCATTAAACTATACACGATTCATACATGCTCAGCTACGAGCTCTGCGACTGGGAAAGTGCAACAGAGAAAAGCAAAAATGCAGGAACCACATTTTATTATTGTAACATCTCACACACCTACCTGCAACATTCACCGCACATCCAGTGAAACAGAATACTGAATATTTCAATGGGTAGTTAAATTTGTAAATAGGGTAGCCACCAAAAAGGACACCACAATAATGAATTAACACAAAAATTGACACACACATACATGTCAAGGGCACCTTTATTTAACAGAAAGCAACCATCTACTATACAGGATTCAATTTTCTTTTTCTTTTTGAGAGAATTCTGGCCCCCCTAGAATCGGAGACGATACATGTTGCTGCGGACGTTGGCATAGTCTGTGAGGGCCTCCACCGGTCCTGCAAAACCAAGACCAAGTCAGATTACATACAAACATGCTGTGCCAGATGCTGTCTGATTTGAATTAATCTGGCAGCATGCTGCTTCACAGTAAACCTTGTTGATGTTTGCCAAGAGATTGCAATAAGCGTAATCTGGAAAAACAAATGACAATGCCCTTAAGTGGACTATGCCGTTTATTTTAGCCAGGCTTTAATGGCTGTGGAGAACTACTTCTGCTCATATGGGCTGACATCTAAGCAGCAAGCACAATTTTCGAGTCCACCAAGCTAACCCAAATGCTCTCTTGCATCAGTCATTACACCTTCCTCGGATCATAGTTATTTTTCACTGCGGTCTCCGGAAGAACATATTAACTGAATTCTACCAAACGCTCGAGTGACCAGTAGGGGCAGAAAAGAAATCGGTGTCACAGCCATCATCTCTCAAAGATCCTAGAGCTGAGTTCACAAACAAGTTGAACTCTTTCATCTTCAAGGTCTTTGGAAAAAAACATTAGGCAGGAGGAAGTCTACAGATGCAAAGCTTCGACCAATCTGTTCAGCAAATGACATGTAGTACGCTTGAATTTGTATAACTGAGAGTGCTGTACAAAAGAATGCACATACCGACTCCGGCAACAGCGGGGCACCGGTCGTAGATGTACTTGGTGCAGACGTCTCTCACTGTCTGGGCGGTCACAGCCTGCGAGAGACCAAACAAAATTGTTTCTACAATGACAGCTTGATGAAAAGGGACAAGGAACATGACTGCATTCAACTAAACTGTTTCTCTGGAAGCATCTTTGAACAAGGCGGTAATAAGTGACCGGCACTGCGGTGCTACTCACGTCGATTCTGGCCTCGAGCTCCGGAAGGGGAATGCGTCTGCCATAGCAGAGCATTTGCCTGGAGAGAAAAACAATCCGCACAATCAGAAAACAAAAGAAATTGCTACGGCGGTGACAATCGCAAAATCGCTCTTCAATCATTGAAAACAAATGACGGCCATGTTTTTTGTTTTTGTTTTTGCTTAGATGGAACTATAGAGTGGTAGGGTGGCAGTTACCGTCCAATGTCCTCGCACACAGGCGTGGTTCCGTCCAGCTGGAGCAGCATGTTGGTCTTGAGGAGGTTCTTGGCCCGGGTCACCTCCCCCTCCGTGGCGCTCATGCAGATGCGCATCCTGACACAAGAAAGGGACCCACGTCAACGTTACCCTCCCATACACGTCCGACAAGATCAACAAGATGCACATCAGCAACAACACCACCCGCGATTTTTTGCGCGCCACCATTTTGAGAGGCAAACTCTGAGGACCCAACATATCTGCCCACCACAGTCACCAGACGACTTTTTTGGAGGCCGATTCTTCGGCGTCCACAAAATGTGTGATTTCCTCAGTTTACAGCCACAAAACAGCCGCCACGAGCTTAGGCGCTGCCATTTTGGTTGTTTTGATTTTGCCCTGTAGCCTCGATGCCACGTCCTACGCAATAAACAAGCTGGGTTGAGGCTATAGTTGGGTTTTCCGGTTCCGCTATAGCCAACATGGCCACCGTCTGCCCATTCTTATGGTCCTTCCAGTTCTTCGCGGGGTCCCTGTTTTTCGAGCGCGACCGCGAGAAGACAGGCCATCTGCCGTTCTTGTGGTCTTTGAGCGTAAAGGTTTTGCCGACAGGCTTAGTATTGAGGCGAGCTTCGTGGACTAAACCTTGTCTCCAAATAGTGCCAAATGGCGCCAACTTCAACTCTGCTGTTTGTGTCAACCAAGGCGCCGACAAAGCGCAACACCATGATCAAACAGATCAACAAACCAGTGAGAAGTAAACAATATAAAGCGGAAGTTGCATGAACAATATGCAGCGGAATATGACCGGAAAGTTCATAATTTGGCTGAAATCAATGTTTGGGACCTATCGATTATTGGGACAATTTCGGGGTCCCCTCCAGGTCCGAAAAATCGGTCGGCGACCGTAGTCCCTAGTCCCGCAGACTAGGGACTAAGGCTAAAGACTATTGCCTAGTCTCGGTGTGCAGGAGTATCACGTGGCAGGGTAAACAACCGTAGGACTTCTTGCTTTTTTTATTTCTGTGAACGTTTGTCGCACTGCATTTGTTTGCTGGTTGAGTTTGTGTGGAGGGGACAGCTTCTTGTCAAGTTACACTTTGTAACCTTCCTCCGTCTCCTCCACCCCCCTTTATGAAGTGAATAAAATTGAATTGAACTGAATTGACTAGTGCGCGATTGTGTCCCACCTTAGTGTGTATTCTCCCCGACTATCTGTGCTGTATAAGAGTAAATTCAAGATGAAGTAACTGTTCAGATTTTTTTTTTAGGAAAAATCTTCACTACATCAGTACGTCAAATGCACGTACCAGTAAAAGAACCATCCTGCAGTATTGATTCACTCTATCCTATACTACAACAGGCAGGTTCTCTGGGCCGGTTATACAGAGGTACAACCGGCCCAGAGAATTACGGAAGACTTCGGGATTCCAAAGACTAACGATACACAGTGCAAGCAAACATCGTGCATCAGTGTAAACGAAAATCTACATTGTGGACGTGCAAAGAGAAGCTGACCATTCTCTCTGAATGGCGTGCACCAAGAAGTCCATCTCCTCTCTCCCTTCCGACACGAAGTAGATGCCCCTGGAAAAATGGGAAGAGAAAAATGCACCACTCAAAAAACATCCTGGGAACAACGCGGCAAATGCTCCCACAGTGCAAACTGAATAAAGAAAACAGCCTCTTTTTATTTTCTACACAAAAGTATATTACGAACGACAAAGTTTCTAAATAGTGTTGAGAGCAACTCGCCATTTGCCCAGGAAGAAGACAAGTTTTAGACACTCAAATTTCAATCATTTTTGAAGTACCTACTCTCCATTAAATGCAATGCACTTGTCGAGACATTCCTTTCAGGAGTTCAAAATAGCCTTTGAATTCCTCAATTTTGATACCCTTCAGAGCTCCTGTCACTTTTTGTTTCCCCGGATTGAAGAAGCTCTCAGTATGAAACGGTTTGCTAATGTAGAAGGGTGAAAACAAAAAGCGGCAGCACTGAAAGGCATCCAAATTGATGAGTTCAAAGGATATTTTGTGCATTGGAAGAAATGGCTTGACACGCTCATTCCATCAGGTGGACACCACTGCGAAGGTGACTACAATTTGAACATGTAAAAATAAATGCACGATTTTGTAAAAATACCGGTTTCTTTGAGGTCCCCCCCCTTAGTTTCAATTTGATCTAATGAGACTGCCTGTGATTGGTTCACCGATTATTATTTCTCAGAAAGCAGAAGACAGTATAGACCTCTTACAACATAACCGCTTATAGTGCAGGACCGGGTACAACGCTGCTTTTTTAAAGGGACCATGAAGGCAATTTAATTTTTTTTTAAAAAAGAAGGTGTTTTCGGAAGCATTGGGGTCCTGGCATGCCACGCAATTTTTTCTAGAATGTTGTGACTCTTATTTCTGTCCCTGCAAATAAATTTGCAAAACCGAAACAAACATTCAGATTTCTTCCCTTTTTCGCCTCTGGAAAGAGAAGTGACGTCAGGGAGCACTGTCGGCATCGGTAGGATTTAGTGCACACTCAGTGTGGTTCCCGTGGTTCGCTCTAGTGCACGGCGGTCTGTGAAGAAAACCTGGAAGAAATGGACGACAACGCCGCGCTCGCAAACAAGTTTGAGCTCCCGTTCAGCGACCTCACGCCGACTGAACGGGAGATGCTGCTAAAAACGCAGAACTCTGGATTGGCGACCGATGCAGCAATGCGCAGCATCGGTTGGCAGTTTAAGCAAACTAACGTCGCCCGATCGACCGCACGTCTTTAGCCGACCTTTCGCGCAACCTACTACTGCACATAAACGCGGCATGATTGGTGAGACACCAGTTCGCAAAGCGAACACGAGATAACGCACAAAACCAAAACCAAAAGTCCGCCGCCTCCGGCGCTCGTACCTCTTTTTCTTTTTTTTGTCCATGGTTGCTCGATGCTTGTTACGCGCCCGAGGTAGCAGTGCGGGATGCGTTCAACCAGTGACAAACGGAGGGATCGCTTCAGATTATGCTTTTATACACAGTATGAAACCTATTAATTCCCAACTACAACTTCATAAGATTATCCAACGTTCAAATAAACTTTTTTCATCACATCTCACCACCGAAATCGAAACCAAGAGCGCGTCTATCGTTTGAACCAATCGCCAGACGAGGAGCCCGTTGTCGTCACGCTTCGGCGCACTTTAGTTCATCTTTCTGCCGCCACCTCGGTGGGGTCTCAGGCACCGTTCCCGGCGCTATTATTACCGCGCCTGTTTGCTCGATTGGTGCGGCAGCCAAACTTCTGTTCGAGCTAGAACTTGGTCAACAGTATCTGAGACGTGCCGGACATCCATTTCAATCTTCGAATAAAGCTCCGAAACTGCCTTCATGGTCCCTTTAAACCACCGGTTCACCTCCCATAGAACTCCCTGTAATTACATACCCAGTGATGTGATTGGGCTAAGCTGTTTTGGAGCACCTCTTGGAGCAGCTAAAACAATGTTTTGGAGCAGGACAAGTGGCCTTTGGAGCAGCCAAAACAGTGTTTTAGAGCAACAAAAGTGGCTTTTGGAGCAGCAAAAGTAGCTTTTGGAGCAGATATTTTTAGAAAAATAAAAATATTTGTTTTACGTGCCGGACAAACGAAGGACACTTTGCTCGCTGCAATAAACACATTATAGTCAAGTTAGACTACCTGGGGGTCTTTCAACATGTTAACTGAAATGCCAATGACATGGCAGATTTTACAATGCTTCAGTTAAATGATACATATACAGGGTGTCACAAAAAAAAATTTACAGGGTTTTTTTCACCGCAGAAATAAACTAGACATCGCCGAACGCTCATTCTCCGCCCGAAGGTAGCGCTAGAGGACACAACCTGAGGCCAAAGTTTCAGCCCGATCCAATATTTTATTCAAAAGTTAGAGGTGATTGTCTGAAAATTTCAATGGGACAAAGGAGCCCATTTCTGCCGGTTTTCGGTTTCTGGTGCCATAGAGCCCCATGTGTATGAAAACTCCGTCGGCCGCCATTTTCCCATTGAAAGTTTCAGAAAATCACTAATAACTTTTGATTAAGTTATCGGATCGGGCTGAAACTTTGGCATCTGGTTGTGACCTCTCGCGCTACCTTTGGGTGGAGAATGAGCGTTCGGCGATGCCTAGTTTAATTTTGCAATAAAAAAACACCGAGTTTTTTTTTGTTTTTTTTTTTGTGACATCTTGTATATGTATTTGCTATAAGTAAATAAGAACCAAACTGCACATAATAAAATTTATTTAAAATTGACCCGCTTAGCACTAAATAGCGCAGCATTAGGTTGACTAGTGATATAATAAATGAAAGCAGTCTCCAACTGATGAAACACGTAACTACTGCAGTGCAATGCGAAATTGTCGCGCAAGCGGAGACGGCTGTTCGATTGAAACCATGCCACTCCGCTCCGTCGCTAACTGGTTCCCAAAATTGTCGGGAAAATAAAACTGTCCAGCATACGAAAAAAAACAAAAAAAACAGTCCAGCGGCACGTGCTCGCCAGGCCGGCAGGCGAGGTCAAAAGCTAAACACACAGAAAAAAAAAAGAACCTAAGCACACCGATGCAAGACATCTCGAGTGTTCTTGGAGCGCTTTGTGCAAGGACTGAACTCGAGAAAAACAAGCTCGCTGTGCAGGTTCAGCGTGCAGACATTGCCTTTCTTGCTTTAGCTCACTTCCCTCCACCAACTGTCTTTCGCGGCAGATTTTTTCACGCACCGGGGTCCCTCTCGAAAGAAAGCCTACCGAGATAAACCTAAGTAATCAATACTTTTACACAGCAGTCTTTGAGGTAGATGAATTTTTGTAGCAGCGTATTAAACAAGAACAGGAATGTTGATGAACATTAGGGCGGACCTTACGTTTCAGTTTAGAAAGCGCCGTATCTGCAGCGATGTGGGGACGGTAACAACCGACGTCGCGCGACCACGGCGACTGGCAGGGAGGGACCAAATATAGTTTTCCCAATGCCGTTGCTTTCAGGAAAGAGTGCTCCAGCTCACAAAGTAACTCCCGCGCCTATCCTTAAAAAAGAAAAGAAAAGCGAGACAAGAAGTTGCGAGAGCGCGGAACGAGAGAAGGTGGGAAAACCCATGCAAGGGGGGGGGGGGGGGGGGGGGGGGGGGGCGGACCGGATGAACGATTGATGCAGGGTACTTTGTGTCGGGCGGCCCCTTGCGCCACCTACCTCACGCGTGCTCAATCACAGTACTCAGTTTAGTTTCGGTGTTTTGAAAGGCGACCGAAAATGGTCCTTTGGCGCAGGCTTGGTGCAGTTTACCCCTATTTTGGCAAAATGTAGCAGGATGTAGCAGGGTTAGCCCCTTGGCGCAGTTTGGCACAATTGGCGCAGCAATCACATCACTGCATACCGCTTAAAATGCAGGCGCGCGAAGGGAAATACCGGTTATAGTGCGGTTTCTGGAAGAGCCCGCCGACCGCGCCGTCTGACCGGCGCAGCGAGCATGCTTCCCTGTGCTACACTAAATAACGGCGCTAGCCACAAGCAGCACTTGCAGGGCAAGGAGGTTGCTCGAAGAAGCGGGGAGAAGCGAAGAGAGAGGCTTCAGTTGCCATAGCGACGGAGGGACGCACACATGTGTCGTTCACGTGCGTGCGTCCACAGTGCGTGCATCCCTCCGCTGCGTTGGAAACAACCGCAACGACAGACCAATCACAGGTCGAAGAGAAGTGTTTGCGCGCGTTGCATGCCGGTCGCGGGCCGGCTTCTTCTATCCGCAAACATGGCGTCGGTTGTGATCGTCGACGTAGACGGCATGGTGGAAGCTCATCGTTCCGCGTAAAAGTGCTATCCTTGACTGTGAATTTTGGTTGTGTGTCGCTATGATAACCCAGCACGTACTAGAAGGGAAGATCCACTTACTCGTGCGGCGATGTTGTGGCGGCACTCTCAAGACGGCAGAAACGCCCGTGTCGTCGTGTTTGTTTACTTCGACTACAGTGGTGATTTCTAAGCATTTGTGTTTTCGAACATTGCTCGGATTTCTTATTTGGAGCATTTCATGCCTGTGCTCAAGTTGAAGGTATTACTGGCGCGTACCATATAAAGGATGCGAATTTTCACGAGTTTTCATCGCTGGAGCCAAGTGATTAGGGTTAGCAATCCTGAACGCTCGCAACGTCCGTCCGCAACCCGCGATGCCGTTAAAAGGCTGCGCCAGGCAAAAGTCGCTCATTTCTTTCAAAATGTGTGACTCACTTGAGAGAGAAGTGTACTAGTCTGGTGAAATAAAGACTTTCCTCAAACTAAGCTTTATTTTTCATCTAAGATAAAATAAATTGTTTTACAAAGGTAAGTTGTCTCATGGCATGTATTTTGGCCTGAAAAAATTGATGTTTTGGTTATAACGCGGTACCGCTTATAGTGCGGATTTTCGCGACTCCCGCGACATACGTTATATGCGGTCTACACCGTAGTAACTGTTCGATTCATAAGTCCATCAGCCACTACAATGTGGGATCACACCTAAGTTTGGTAGTTCATACGGTAGAATGTTTAGATGCTGCTAGACATCTGACCGATCAAGCGACATCAGAAAGCAGCACTGCAGCTGTCTGGTTGATTGCTCAATTAGTTGTATACACAACTTTTGCAGCTCACGTGACAGAATGCATGCCGACACACTACAGAGCAATGAACTATCAGACACCATAAATGAGGATGTTATGATTTGTAGATTGGTTGACCATTTAGAGAGAAATTGACCAATCAATCACTGCCAGAAAGCAGCGTAACAGCTGTCTGGGTGACTGTCTGTCAGGCAATCAAACTGCAACTGACTGATCAAGTGACCTCAAAAGCTGTTTGATCAACTCGCATGTCAACCAATCAAACTGACCAATCAATCACTCCCAGGAAGAGGAATATCACAGCTGCTTGATTGGCTAGTGAATCAAATAATTAACTAATCTGTCGCTCTCAGGAAGTGGCATATCAGAGCTGTTTGGTCAACCAATCAAACAAATGACCGACCAATCACTTCCAGTGAGCAACAGATTGCAGCTGCTTAACTGAACTATTGGCCGACTCGTCCAGCTAAACATCAGTGAAGCTGCCATCTAGGACATGTCCTCACCAGAGTCCGGTGTCCTTGTAGCAGGTGTTGAAGGACTGGAAGCTGTGGCAGGCATTGTCCGGGTCCTTGACGCACTCCTCGGCGAGGCGGCTCGACACGTTGGCACCGCCTCCGTGAGAGCGGTCCCAGTTGCCAATCAGCTGCGGGGTCACAAGCGCCAATCAGCCCATTGTTGGGATGTCATCTAATTTTAAACTGACCAGCTGCAAATTAGCGTAAAAGGCCGAGTGTATACTCATGTTACAATACACCTTTTCATTTAGCCTTGCACCCAGCCATGTTGTCCCCCTATCCGGTATGCGTTCCGAACAAAAAGCAAGAGATTTCAACCTTGAACAAGTAAAAAAAAGTATAAAAGGGTCATAACAAGAACGACTGACGGTTGCAATTAAAATGCTAACACGTTCTACTGGCGAGGTGAAAGAAAAGCAATGTTTTTACGCATACCGGAAGGTCAAGAGTTGAAGATGGCGGCGCTCAGATAGAAAAGGTGTATAGGCACCCACTTTTGAAGAATAAGCAAAAGGTGCAACCCTGCTTTGGCTGCTTCACTGTGCACGCCGGTGCAAAGTGCTGAAGACCACCCTCTCGTGAGTCCCTTCTGCATTTTTGCTCTCAAATCTGAGCGCTCATTTTACAGTTTATCAAGATTATTTCCCAATTGTTAGCGGGCGCTTACTCGGTATCTCATAATAGCCACAAGCTCTTTTTTTTTTTTTTGTTCTTTAAAAGTAAAGTTAAAAAGTGAAAGATGTTTACAAATCACTGTAACGCGAAATTAGAACACGGCTCTTCAGGAGGAGAAGAAGTGGGTGTACGCCCCTCCTCCTCCTCCATACCCTCCCTGCCTCTTTTCTTCCTCCTCTCCCCTGCTTCTCCTTTCCCATCCTCCTCTGTACCCTCCCCCTCTACATACCCTCCACTCCTCCCACACTTTCCCTGCTAAATTTAGCTGAAAAAATGGTGCCACGTAACCTCAACAGGAGACCTGCCAACCCTACAATGCTGAAAATACTACAGGGGACGCCAAAAAAAAAAAAAAAACACAATTGTGTGAAGAAATACGAAAACTGTTTTATTCTTCAAAAACTTGGTTTAGGTAAAAAAAAAAGCCTCAACTTGGGCACAAACACATCATACATTGCACAAAATGTCTTACTCTTTAGAAGTAGAAGGTTGGGCTAACACTGAGGAAGTTGCAGCTTTTGCTTTTCTTAGGAAGTTGTTGTCGAACACTTGTTCATGGCACTTTCCGGACTGGCTGCATCTCACCACTAACGACTGTTCAAGAGTGTTTTTCGACATAGAGGAGCGGAACTGCGTGTGTGCCTTCTTCACTTTACTGAAAACTCTTTTGCCTGTGCCTGGTTTAACAAAGACGTTAAAGAGCAAAGTTCTTCCTCTTTAACATCTCTACAACAACCGCTGTGAACGGCACGTTCACAGCGGTTGTTACTACACTTCACTCTTACACGCTTATTAAAACCATTTACGAGCATAGGCCTTAGATCGGAACCCTTTCTCGCTACCACCGCTAGGGGATTCTTTTCGGCTTCTGGTTGGTCAAGAGAGCATGCCAAGCCCTCTTTCCGAGTCTGGTGCACTCCCTGGCTCTGCCTGCGCCTCCCATGGACCAATCTCTCTCTATACACAGATCTGGGCTATACCACCCCTTACTACACTGACCTCAATGACAATTGCCTCACAACGAGGAGCGGTAGCTTGTGCCCCCTGGCATACAAGTCAATGTACCAAAGTTGCCAACCCCAAATTGTAAACAGGCGAGATGCAGCTTAAATAACAAATTTTTTTTTTTTGTTATTTTACAAATATTGTTGTTAATAAGATAACTGTAAGAAAGCACAGGAAAGCGGACACTTTACAATAAAATCGTAAAACTTGGCAGGTATGCAACAGCATTTCAATTGCCCGCTAAGTTTAGCGGGGAATTGAATGGCTGTTGAGGTCACGTGACGTCAATTTTCCCGCTAAATTTAGCGTGGATACGCCGACGCCCTCGGTGACGCCGCGAAACCCAGAAACGGGTGCCTAAGAGCTGCGCTCTAAAATTCACCAGCGTCTAAGATTATAAGATGGCAAGCACAGATATGGCGTCTAAGTCTTTTGACTGCCAGCAGTCGCCAAACACGGGCACAGATGCAGCTCTATGTACGACCCTCATCCAGATCGAAACCTAAAAAGGGTGAATGGCACCTACGGTGTTGGCGACCATGAGGGGGATGTTGTCGGGGTCAGCCCACCCGCAGCTCTCCACTGCAATGGCCACGTGGGCGTACGGCATGTCGTCGTCACGAACACGCACCTGCGGCAAAAGCAAAGAGTGACGAACAGGCAACAGTAGCTAATGGCCGGCTCTGGTGGCCAGTTCATTAGCAGCGGCTTTGTCAGAGCCACCAAACCCTTGAAACTGGAACCAAACAGAACCGCTCGTTTGCAGAGGCCACCCAATGTCTCGAGTTCTCTTACCTGAACGGAGCATGACTCAGCAAGTTGGCTTGCTGGTATGCTTCTCGGGGTATCCCGGAACCTTCATTTGCTCTAATTTACCCCTATCCCAATGCAGAATGGTTCCCTGGTTTAGGCATGACTTAAAGGGAAAGTACAGCTCAGTACAAATCACATATTTTTAACCTTCTGCATAAGAAAAGTAGTATCGTCAAAAGGGTAATGAAATAATTTGTTTCGTACAAATGAAATGATACGAATGAATTGTATAACAGTGATGTGATTGGCTTAGGCCATTTTGGAGCACCTTTCGAAGCAGCCAAAACGGTGTTTCGGAGCAGCAAAAGTGGCTTCTGGAGCAGATATTCTTAGAAAAATCAAAATATTTGTTTTAAGTGCTGTACAAACGAACAACTTTGTGTTGTGTTGCACCCTGATGTGACTTGTTGTGACGGAACTCGCTGCTTGTGGTTTTACTGCTGAGACACCCCACAAGTGTACAGCACGTTGCTGTATGCATTGCCGAGCAATTCCGAAAAACCACTTGCCACCGTTTTACTGGTTCCCGACAAGCCAGATTTTCGTCAAAAGTAAGCAAACGTAAAACAATGGATTGCAAGCGTCCCGGCTGGTACCTCTGTCGTTCAATCATGTTCGCATGCACGTGAGGGAAACTTCGCAGGCTTGCAGTTGCGCGTGCTTCATTGGGCGAGCGAAGACAACGACTTTTTGATCGAAACCAAAAGCATGACAAGCGCGCTGTGCACGTTCAGCGTGCAGACATTGCCTTCTTTGCTTTAGCTTCCTTCTCTGCACCAACTTTCTTTCGCGGCAGATTTTTCACGTACCGGGGTCCCTCTCGAAAGAAAGCCCACTGAGAGAAACCTAGGTAATCAGTACTTCGACACAACAGTCTTTGAGTTAAAGAGGTATTTTTGTAGTAACGTATGAACTGAACAAGGACAGGACTGTTGATGAACATGCGGCGGTGCTTAGTTTTATTTTAGAAAGCGCCATGTCTGCGGCGACGTGAGGCCGACAATACCCGACCAAGGCGACTGGAAGCCAGGGACCAAATATAGTTTTTCCACAGCCGTCGCTTTCAGGAGCAAGTGCTTCAGCTCACAAAGTAACTTCCGCCAAGCAAAAACGTGGTTTCGTTTCACAGCATGATCGCGTGGCTGTTACCCGGCACGTTAGCGTCGAAGCGTCCGCACACACCCGCGTCTATCGTTGAAAATATTTAAAAAAAGACGTGAGACAAGACCCGCCAGACGACGAGCGCGCGAAACGCGAGAGGGCGGGAAAACCATGCAAGACGGGATGGACAATTGATGCAGGGTGCTTTGCGTGGGGCGGCCGCTTGCGCCACATAACACACCCATGCTCTATTACGCTACTCAGTTTCGGTTTTGAAAGGCGACTGAAATCGGTCGTTTGGACCAAGCTTGGTGCCGATTACCCATATTTTGGCAAGATGTAGCACGATGTAGCAGTGTTAGCCCCTTGGAGCAGCTTGGCCGCAATAATCGCATCACTGGTATAATCTCAAAGGAAGAGGGAGCTCGTGAAGCTTATTTTTCGGCAATTTTTCCCTAAATTCCCCTACCGAATGGATTAGGAATAAAAATATTATTATTATTCTATCTTCAGGCCAGATTTGATTGTTACCAAGCGTAGTCTCAAGCTTGCTCGCATCCAACCTGCGAGCACGATTCAGCTGAAGTGGTTAGGGTGCCTTTGGCACTGCGAAGCACCACGGTAAAAAAATTTAAAGTTTTCCGAAGGAGAAAAAAAAACAAAATCCATTCATTAGATAAATGTTGTAGCGAAAATTAAACAGGATCCTTACCCTCATGTACTGCTAGTGTGCTTGTGTCGTACTACACAAGATGCAATTCACACAACTCCAACTTTCAGTTAAAAGAGAGCAGACGACCCCAGAGTGCCCACCTCACTCCCGGTGAAGCGGCATGGCAGGTCCAGAGGAGGAACCTTGGCGTCGTAGTCGGTCTTGATGGAGCCAAAGTGCTGGCTGGCCAGCTTCACCAGTTCGTCGTGGTTCACACCTGTCCACAAGCCACACAGTGGCACCCAAGACGTTTGCATGCAGAGAAAACAATACCGGACGGACACTGAATGCCATTTAAGGACGCACGTTAAAAGAGGATGTAGACTGGCAGATTTCCTGAGTCTCGCAGCTTATGACTAAGCAGACCGAGTTTCTTTAGTTCAATCTTATTTAAAAGAGGACGAGGAAAGCAACCCTTGCTACCTTTTTCTTCCAAAAAACCCTTTCTTGAAAAAAAAAAAAAAATGTAGCAATTATTTAATTTAAGAATTTGAGCAAACATTCCACATTAGCTAAAGAATCGAGCTTCAAAAAATCCATGAACTTAACACCGAAAAAAATCACACTCCTTATTCGGAAGTTATGCGAGTTGAAAAGCTAGAAGAAAAAAGGCTTGGGAAGCCAACAGCTGATATGAAGAGTGGAGCAAGTGTTCCCTCGTTTTGAACAAAATACAAAACAGTTTGTATTACTTGGTCCTCAGTTTCGCTTGGTTTTTCGAAATGACATCGTCCAACAAAATCGTAATTGCATTCCTTCGGCAGTTCTGCACCCGGTTAAAAGGATGTTCAACTGAAATTGGGATTTCACAAAAATAAGGCCGCAGAAGCATTGAACGGGATGCTATCACCTCCAAAGAATCCGTCACACGTCAATATTTTCGAACAGACGGCCGTATTTTTGGAAAAGAATGGCACGATCAAGCGAGGAATGTGACATCACGATTCTCTTCAAACAGTTGAGAATGAGGAAAAGCGCTTCTCTCCTCCTCGCTTCGGTTCACCTGCTCGAGGGGACGAAGCGAAGAGGACACGGAATGAGAACCGCGTCGCAACATGTCCCGTCAGCCTTGTCTAATCACAAAGTTTTTTTTCCGAAAATATGGCCATTCGTTAGATATCGCAGTATGAGTGATGTATTTGGGTTTTGAAGCGTCCCGCCTATCGCTCCAGCCTTGTTTTGTGAGCTCGAGATCAGTTTAGCATCCCTTTAAACAAAAGCCCAACCGTTGCCCCAAAATGCCATCTAGTTCCCATAAAGGGCAGCTGTTTCCAAGGGGTCTACTACTTCCTTCCACTTTGAGAACCCTTGTTTGGGTTTTGTCGTGCCAGCATTTTCTTCAATAGTTTTTTTTTATCGAGTCATTGTCAGCGCCTAACCCTGCGGAAGTGAACAGTGAAGCGAGAGTGAAGAGCGCACCTCCGGCTCCAGCCAGGACAATGCGTGGTCCCTTGTAGTGCAGCGAGATGTAGTCCACAAGGTCCTGCCTCTGGATGCTCCTGCAGACGGTAATACACGCCAGTGCAGTGGGTCACTCTCAGACACCAGACAACGTGAGAACAAAGAGAAACTTCCAACTATACTCTCAGTCTTGCCAAAGGTACAGAGTAGAGAGTGTAACCCAAGCAGTTGAAAAGGAGGGGAAGGAGAAGATTTCCTGTAACCCAGACCCTCTTTTGTAAACCCCACATCGCTTTGCGCTCCCTCGGGGATTAGCCTCTCACTCAGAATTCATTCAAAAGAGGCTTTCCTCATTCCATCGCCCGTAGCTTCCGCAGTGAAGAACCGAACTAAGATAGGCCCAAATAGGTTCGCACACAAATACCAACGCTTATTTACCATTTACCTTTACTTTTTTTCATTGCGTGTTAAGGATATTTTACCACCCTAGTCCATTTGCTCCCTGTAGGGCGAAATAGGGCTATCTTTCGAGACATTACGGTACACGAGTCAACTCTTCATCCAAATTTATGCTACGCCATTCGTGCCTATGAGCCAAAAAAGGCGCAACTTAAATTAGAAATCGAAGTTTAATGTCTTAAACTTTACCATCTAACTGCAATCCCAGAACTGTCTCTTCCTCGATCATAGCACTGGCCGATCACTGCGCCGCCTACATACCACTTGACACCCGACGGCTCCGATTCCTAGCAATTACAGCACGACTTGAATCGTATTCCTCTACGATACAAACTCTGGTCAACGGAATTAAACGTTACAGGGTGCGAAAACTAACGCTCATGGTTGGCAAAGTTGTTCACCATTGCAATCCGTAATTCCCCTAACACCGAGTATAAAACGAACAAATAAATCGCAACCGACCCACTTCGGGACTTCATTATCGGTCAATGTCTGTATTGCCAGTAGTTGTAAAAAACGCTGCACCGAGAAGTTAAATGCGTTGCCCTCGTTTCAGTGCACTGAGCGGCAACAGTAGACGACACGGCTGGCAGTAACAGGACAGTTGTCTGACGTTGTTGGGCGTAAATTGAGGAAAAGCTTTGTAGGACACAACAAACACGCGCTCTAGGCACTCTGTCGAAGGCCACGGGGTCAAGAGGTCCGCGGGTGCACTCACTTGATGTTCTCGGTGGGTCCCAGGATGGTGAGTCCCAGAGGGGTGCCCTGGAAGGCCACCGAGTGCAGGTGGTCGAACACCACCTCCTGCAGGTTCGTCTCCACCTCCTGCATCTCCCGCAGGATCACCCCACGCTCCCGCTCAATCTCCGCCTCCCCAAACTTGCTGTTCTGCAGGATGTCTGACAGGATCTCCACGGCTGCGCAAGACGGGAAAGGAAAAGCACCGTGGGGACGGGCGCGCTGCGGAGGGGCAACTTTAGCGACGGCCTTTACAACAATACTCCATAATTGTACGAGTGAGGGATACATCTTTTCCAGGTCTCCCTAATGATGAAGCAAAGAAGTATAGCAGCTGCTTATTGGTAACTCTCTGAACAACATAAAACATTTCTCCACTCTTTGCCATTATTACCGCTGTGCGGCCTCAACCGAATGTGATGCCGTGCCGTATCAGCCATGCAGCACATTGTCTGCAAATTTATTTTCCGATTCCTGGCCTAATGGTGCGGGGCACATACACAAACACCGCGGGCCACTTCGTACACTTGTTTCGTTGAAGAGACCAGATGACAGCAAGGTGAACCATTCATCCGGCTAAAACTTCAGTGACCGTCGGCTTTGCCCTAGAGCGGTGGTTCTCAAATGGGGGCCTGCGGACCCTCTGGGGTCCCTGAAGGCTTTCTTAAGATCCCCAAAGCCTTAGGCCTTCAGTTGAACCAAACACTCATTTTTCTTTTTTATTGATGCTGGCAGCCCCAATAGGCGAAACCATGTGCACTAAGTGAGTAGGGTGGATTATTCTGTTTTCAGGGCTGCAAAGTTGGTTTGCACGCATTTAATGTTCTTCATTTACCCGTTTGTCACTGCAATCGTTCAATACCACCCCCGCCCCTGGCAGATGGAGTCTGCCATCACTTCCGCCGACCAAAAAGCGGTCCCCTAGACATCTGTGGTTGAGAACCACCACCCTAGAGGATGGCGGTTAAAAAGTGCCTTCCACCATCACAAGGACTTTCCCATGACATACTTGGCAAGTTTTTGACACACCAGCTTTAGAACCCTTTTCCGACACCTACGACTCAAGTTCAATGCACCTAATGGAACGCAATGGAAATGCACGCTTCAGCATTATATTACTGGACACGAGGATTCTGTTCTTTCAATATATACGAGAAGTTTCAATGCCGACTGGCCGTTAGTGCAAGCTCACCCACCCCTGGGCATGTCCTTGGACAGGCACTTTGCGTAGTAGACGGTCTGCTCCCGGGACGTGTAGGCGTTCAGGTGGGCTCCCATGTTCTCCACCTCCAGCTCGAGGTCCGTCTGGGACCGCTTGGAGGTGCCCTGTGAGCAAAACAACATCCTCACTTCACGCAACTCTTTCTTCAAGATAGGACAGAGGTAGTGCCCCATGCAAATACGAGAAAGGTCAAGCCAACTGAGTTCATCATGAAGTCAAAAAATAGTAAACCTTGACTTTGATCCTGCACCCCGCTTGTTTTGGTCCGAATGAGCTTCATACCAGCATGCGGTTCTCTAATCACTATCGCGTGATGCACATTGGAGACGTCATATTAATGATCATACCACAGCACAAACTAGCGTCGACATACCTCGGAGACGGGTCAAACTCTCACTGTCTGAACATTAGTCTTTCTTTTTTCTGTCGCAATTACTGACCCTACCACCTACTTCCTTTCGAGATAAACACTATGAATAGTAACTTGAAGAAATAACACAGTTGGAGTTCACCCAGTTGGCAAAATTTCAGCAAAACAAGAGTTTGGTCTAAAAAATTGGTGTGTGTATGCTTATACAGCTGTAAGTTAGTCTGCCTCAATGGGTGACTTGTCTCAGCTGTAGACGAGCAATTTAGCCAGTGCCATAGTCTCCTCTATACTGACCAAGCCTGGCAGGTCGTCACGCGACGCGGCTGCCAAAAGTGAAAAGGTAGAGCGGCAGACAAGAGTCATGTAACGGGCGCCCCGCCGCGACGAGACACCGAAACATGTTTGTCCCGAGCGATGGAATGTCCGCTCATGCTTCTCGTGTCCCTCGCGCTACGGCCTCGTTTCTCGTCGGGTTTGAAAATCATGTTTCGGGTCCTCGCTGCTGCAAAAGCTGTGCGCTGAATACCAGATTCCCCGAGAAATGCTCTCTGCTACCAGATCCTCGCGCTCCAAATCTACGACCGGGCACTCTATTGGCTCCGTCATCGAACTGCCAGGCCTTGTGAGTATAGAAGAGGCTATGCCAGTGCAGCACAACTGCTAGCCTGGGGTCTTCAAAGTGTATCACACACCGGTCTGATGCTCATCCAGATCGAAACGGGCAAAGGTGGGGGTTGAACCTAGGATCCCTGGGTTCTGCAGCGCAAGTTTTCGCTCCACGTGCTCCGAGCTGGTGGGTGCTAACCCACTCGGGCACTGACCCCCCCTAGAGTCGGGTCTAAAGTTGTTAGGACAGGAGTCTCCAGGAATTGATGCTGACATAAAACGACTCTAGTCACTGACAGGTAGAGAACGGCGCCCCCATTCGGAGACCCCACTCCTTGCCTTCTACGCGCTTTGGCTGTACATGCACGCTCAGAGCTGACGAGACGACCAAGTGTCGTCGGAGGTAGGAAGCTTGGGCTGGAGGCAGGACAACTGAATGACCTCCTTGCCGTTGTCACCCTGTCATTGACTACACAAGCAATGCAAGGAAACAGATTCCCACAGTTCGTGACTCTAGCCACAGCGAGATAAAATGAACAGCAACAGGGAGCGGACGCTACCTTGAAGGCCATGTGCTCCAGGAAGTGTGCCACACCGTTGTTCTTCTCGTTCTCATAGCGGCTCCCGGCGTCGATCCAGACGCCCACGGTGCACGTCGGGTTGCCGGAGTCCTCGGTGGCCACCCGCACCCCGTTGTCCAGCGTAGTCACCCGCGTCTCCGGCACATTCAGCAGCGTCTGGCTGAATGTCGTCGTCGCCAGCTGATGCAGACGGCGGGACTGCAACGGTGACCCAAAAGGGACAGCTCAATTTCTGCGGATGCCTGCTCACTCTTTGTCGTGCGAGATGGAGCCTGACGACGACTCGCATAAATGTTACGCGAAAGGTACAGCAGTTTGTCATCACAATGTCGTCGTCGTCAAAATTTTTTTGTGACGTGAATCGGGTGGTTAGGCTCAAACCCGACCACCGGCTTAGGTGTTATCCCTAAACAATTCGGTCTCAACCTACAATGCAGATTTTGTGACAATTTTCGGATTAAATGTATCGAACTTCTTTGAGGGATGTTGTTTCTAATATTGCCTTTAAAGTTTAACCTATTTCACAGCTATGGTTGGAAAAAAAAAGGAGTAAAAAATCTGAAAATCTTTGTGGGCTAGAAGTTATGCACTTTAGTAGAGGAAAAGCCCCAGCATATTTGTTAGGAAGAAATAAAAAAATATGCAGAGAAGGTGAGGAAATTAACTTTCACATGTGGGGACTTGGCCTACCAGTTCTGCAAGTTAAAGACACTCTAACACCCTCCAAAAACATGTTTTTTTCTTCTTATTTTTTGCCAGACAATTTAATAGTGCACCATTTGCAGCGCCCGCCCTGTGCGCTTCTCTCTTTGTCCCAGTCTTCTTGTGCGCTGCTTTTAGTTCTTTAAATCATGAACCAACTCGCCTGCATTGCTACCTTGATTTAATATGGGGTCAGGAGACTACCCAGCCAACGTTTTGCTGTAGAGTCACATATATTTTCAATAAAGTAAAAAAACTCAACTGCTTGAACCTGAAACACGAGCATGGAAGCTCATGGCCGGAAAACACATAGCTCCACCCGACCACATTTTTCTTTCTCTCAGCTTCTCTGGCTTGTGAAGCAGACGACGATGACTAAGAATTTGCGTGCGATCTGATGGATAGGCTCCCACTGGCTGGCAAGCGTCATCAAGGAACGGGGCTCCCATTGGCTCTCGCGCAGCGTAGTTCCAAAAAATGTCACCAGGGAAGCCCTCTCCATGGCGGCGCAGCGCACGCAGCAGCTTGGCCGCCGGCAAGAGGGAGCAGTGGCCGCAGAGCCCGCCCAGGCAGACTCCGGAGAGGCTGCACGGCCGAGCTCAGCGCGACACGGCCACTTCACGTGAGCACGCGCTTGACCGTCAGCTGCTACCTCGGCAGTAGTGAAACGTGGGCATTTACGCCCCTACGTCGCAAAGGAACTAAGGGGCTGGAAGAACGACATTCGTGCTTTTGCATTCACAACTCATAAAATGCTTAAATGTCCTCGAACTTTTTTTTTTAATCAATTTATTTTTTGCATTTTGGAGGGCACAAAGATGGGTTCATATCTTTTATATTTTTAATATTTGAATGTGTGCCCTGATAATCTACTACTTTGCATACATTTGGTACACGTGCTGTGTTTGAACACCTTGGAAAAGGGAGCGAGTTTTTTCTTTTGGTCCTTTCGAGGGTTGGGCTATCTATCTGGCCACCACTTAAATGATTTTGTGACTCCTGGTATACATGCTTTGCACTGACGTCACATCACCGATTTCGCACCACCACGGAAGAGAGTCCCGGTGAGAGGGGAGTTCCTCCTTTCCCTCTTCGGTGGTGGCTGGAAAGCTGACGGGAGGACGTCAGGTGCAAAGCATGGATAGACCGTAGCGTCCCTCCCGATACTATATATACATATACAAAACACAACATAGAGGTAATGAAGAGCCTGCCTCAACTTTCTTTTTGGTCAGATTTGCGGTTCGTTCCATACATTCAAGCGAATGCGACATGCTTTGAAAAGTTCTGGAAGCGGACAAGGACACTGGTGTTAGTTAGGTCACCGATCTTATCATGAGCAAAACTTTCAGAGTTCACACAAACTACCAGCTGAAGCTAACAAGCTGGCATATATCAGAGCTTCAAAATAGGTCTTCAATGAAAAGCGAATCCTGCGGCAACATCGGGCACCTCGGACACGCCGAATCTATGGAAGGTATGGCGCTCTTTCATTTTCGTTGAAACGAACCCAGGGAAGACGCTGAATCTTAAGTAAGCGTCGTACTGCGCACTAAAAATAAGTCTAGAGGGCTTACGTATGTTTTTCTTGTAGCATTTTGCAGCAGAATCGCCGTACCCTTGAGAAGCCGCGAGGTCGCCATGTCTACGGTGTGCCCCGAACGTCTGGAGAGAGGTAAAAAAAGAGGGCGCCACTGATCAGCATACACAAAAATAAGCAAGAAAGACAAGAAATAAGCTGCGTTTCTTGAATTAGACAGTGGCTTGCGCCACCTAGTTAGTGTGGTTGCTGCCGCCTTTTCCGCCATCTTCCGCTTTTGTATTTTGACGTAAAAGCCTAGGTAGAGGTGGTAGAAATCTGAATCATAGAGTTATTATAATGTACGCTAGAGGTTCAACTGGCGCTAGTGTCTACGCGACTTCCGGGAGGCAAATTGAAGCAGAAAGCAACCAGTCTACTTTTGCGGTGCTCCTGTGCATTCCTATGGGAAAACGCACGTGCATTTTGTCTCTTCGCCGGAAAACAACATGAATAAGTTTTGTTATTTCTGTCGTACGGAATAGTATGTACCTTTATTGGTATTGTGAAAGTGTAATTGCTTTAGTTACAGCATTTTTCTTTACCGCTGAACGATGTTAAACTTCGCTGTATTTCAGGCCCAAAGCTCTGTTCCGCGGCAGGTATGCAAAAACGAGCGACGATTCTAAGCAAAATAACGATCGAAAGGAATGCAGAGTGTGTTCAAGCTTCGCTAGCATTCCGGTGGCGCTTATGTATTGCTAATATGCACGTCCTATCATTATATGAAAATGACTCCGTCGTGCGCATTTTTACGATCGGTTAAAAAACATTTGAACATAAAAAATAAAGTACGTTGGCCACAAAAGGTGTGTCTTTTTATTATTTCCTATGACGGGCAGCTTTTATCGGGCACCTGTTCTCTGGCTTCTCCCTATCTGGAAAGATTTGGAGCGTGCGGGTGATGCTTTGAACCCAGAACAAGCATCTTCGCACATGAGTAGAAAGAATAAAGCAGTACTTATTTAATGGAAATCGGACTATATTACGTGGCTTTCAATTTCTTTTGATCGTCTGCATGCACAAGAAGTTAGTTATCCAGTGTTACTGCAAAGTTCTTGCCGTCTATTTTGGTTTCCAGATGTCCTTCGTTCGTTTGGCATGTATACCCCCATGCTGGAAAGCGCCGACGCCGTGTTCGCGCTAACAGTGTCCGACAGTGCACATAAATACACGTACGAAGCGGTTTTAGCACCGTTTTTCAGGCCACGAATTTAAAATAAAAACGCCGTAAGTGACCAATTATTTTGTCTGTGTGACTGAGAAATGTTCCAATGTGCCTAGTACGTACGAATTATTCGTGATATTTGTCCTTCTAATCGAGCGCAGAGATAAAATGTACTCGCTTTTTCCCATAGAAATGCAAAGTATACGCCGACACTCAAAACATCACTTGCTGCATGATTGAAGACCGCGTCTTTCTTGATGAGTGTATCGATAGGGACCTGGCATTCCTAAAGTCTATACTGAACTCCATGCACTAAAACGCATGCAAAAGAGATCTACTTGCAATGATCCCCCAGCTTGGCAAGCAAACTATGTTTCTCGAATTAAGTGCCAATGAGATCCGCTGACCACATCTCGGGGTGCTCTGTCCTTTGATCCGCGACAGTAACGGAGCCGAGATCGGTGATCCCATGAGTGAACTATGCTCCCTGTAGTGAGCGACTTACCGTGAAATACCGGGCAAGCACCCACTCAAAATTTAGAGATGATCGTTAAAAAATAGGGAATGGGCGCTTGTCCGGTCATCAATTTTACATATAAATGGTCTGCACGTATTTCCACAGGTCTTACAAATATGTGTGTGGGCGCTCAACGTGGAATCGGCGGATGCGCGGTATTCTACGGTAGGTCAATGAGGATTCATTCACTTGCTCTATGTACTTCAACAAACTGGTGGGCGTGGTATTGCGCATTCTCAGCAGCGTGCTGCTGGCTACCAATCCCTTCGGCCGCCACCGTGGCCTTGACTTCTTCAAGTGCATTGAATTCCAAAACTGCGGGAGTCTGCGCACCTACACACTGCTGTGGCTCGAGGCAGATCCCCAGGAATCCATATACGAGCACATGCGTCTCATCACAGGCTTGTGATCGGTGTCTGCTGCTTACCTGCCCCACACCTACGCCAATCAAGTCCACAACCAGACTTTCAATGGTTGTAAGAAGAACGATCTCGCACGGTGCTGTTGCTTCAAAGTTTCATATTGGCCGCTTGATACCACTAGCGTGCTGCTACCTCTGAACAAAGGCGATGCTTGTCGCGATCACTGCAGAAAACGGGCGCTTCTACTGCATGCCAAACTTGCTGAAAAAGCTTATGCTGCTTTCGACGAGTTCCCCCTTGACAACCGCTTGACATTGCTGGAGTATTTGGACATCATCAGGGCCATGTTTTGACGACCCACTGTGCTCTGCAAGTGCACCATGACTGAGTTGTGGACGGACACCTTCAATCCATGGATCGTCACTGTGCTCAACTCCAACATGGATCTCAAATTCATCATCGACGGGTACTCCTGTGCGGCGTACATTGTCGAGTATGTAAACAAGAGCAATTATGGCGGGAGCAGCCTTCATCGCCAGCTTGTGCAGCTGCAGGTGGACCATCCAGAACTCGACTTCGTTGCACTAATGAAGAAAGTCTGCATCAACATGCTCAACTCCACCGAGATGTCTTGTCAGGTAATTACCTTTCCCATCCCGCTCCTGCTCGCAATTTCTGAAACTTCGCTTCTCGGCAAACACATAACGCTTGTACTTTCTACGCACTTCAGCTACGGCAAAAATATATGGTGCATATTTCTTTTCTATGCAGGAGGCAGCCTGGCATTTGCTACGCCCACCCATATCGGAGACAAGCTGCAAAGTCGAGTTTGTGCCAACCATGTGGGCCAGCGATCGAGTCAAGAGCCACAAGGAACGAGAGGAGATAGATGCCGAGTGACTCGACGGCTGAGTCCGCCGACCTCTGGACCATGTATGAACAGCGCTTGCAGAACATGGACGATTTTTGCCTAGCCGACTTTGCAGTGTGGTCCATTGTTGTTCGTGATTGCGGGATGCCTCTGATGTTTACTATTTATCAACGGCGCATGCGGGTTCTCAAGTATACCAATTACCATATGAGGGAGAAGTTTCCCAAGTACAAGTGCGAAGTGGTTACACTCCATTCTTCTTTTTCTTCAGATGCGAGCACGCCGAGATCACCGACCACACGCGTTTCCTCCAGCCGTATGACGAACATTGTGAGGTTATCGTGGTCAAATTCGGCCAGTACGCAGTGGTTGATATCGACAAAAATCTTGCCGAGTACAACGTGCTGTGCGCTATTGTACAGGAACATGGAGGCCGTGGATGCCGCGCAAGACCGCACGGTAGAAGCACAAGCTACCGTCACTGCCAACAATCACGGCATTGAGATATTGTAGTTTGGCCACGTGTCCAGTGCTGTACGCCAACATACCGAAATCCTGCCGTCACCTGCGCCTCACGATCCCGGAGCAACGCGATTTCTTGCTCACACTGCTAGAGGTGTTGCTTGACATCGGCCACGAGCACTGCCTCCAGCTCTTCCTAACTGGTGTGGCGGGCAGCGAAAAGACGTTTACGCCCAATGTAGTCAGGGAGACGGTGATTCACACAGGCACAGGGATGCAGAAACAACGCATACGTAGCGTGCGCACCCACGGGCAAGGTGGCAGTGGCAAAACTGACTATTCGGCATTCAGAATTACCATATCCAGAAGATCTAGCCCCTCACTTTCACGTGAGGTTATCCAGTCGTATCCGTTAAACATTTGCCGAGGTGCGACTCGTGTTTGTCGACGAAGAGAGCACGATCTGGGCCGGAATGCTGTGCACCATCCACTCGTGTATGGGCGACATCAGCGGCGACTTCGACGATCCAATCGGTGGAATGAACACTGTCTTCTGTGGCGACAAGTGCCAGTTGCCCGGCTGTCTTTAAAACCCCATGTGATTCCGTTGACGGTGCAACGCTTTGGCATTCCCTCGAATTCAACTCTCTCACCCGAATTATGCGCCAGCCAGAATTCATATTCTCTGCAATACTCACCAAGATCAACAGTGGCGACGGTCTCGCGGCGAAGGAAACTGTAAGGATTTAGCAACGCTTCAGAACAGCCCAGTGGTGCAACAACAATGTGCCCGCTACCATGAGCCTCTTTCATAGAAACTGCGATGCAGGGGTGGAACGGCTGCGCCATTTGCGCCATTTTGCGCCAGACGCATGTGTCTGCGCCATCCTGCGCCATGTTGCAGAAACTGCGCCACAGCCAATACCTCGCGCCATTATACGCCAAATCGCAAGACGTGCGCCAAAAAACTTTTTTTTATTTCGTCTTAGTTTCGGTTTCTATCGATTCGATTGGCAACAATGAGGGCGTTTAGCCTGGTCGGCCTTGCAATCCTTTGTTGTGTTTATTCCCCCTGTCTGTCCCGAGTCGGAAGCGCGCGAAAAAAACTCGGATTCTAAGCGCTACACCACCTGCGACTGGATTGTTATTCTTCAACCATAAGCGGTAGGGCAAGTCGGCCGAGGTGAGGTCGAGTCGTTAAGCATCAGATTGCATGAGGCTCTGCGGCCCGGAATCCGGACGTCATCCAGTCGAAAACAAATGAGCAAAAGATTCCTTTTAGTACTTCATCCTTAGGAGTTGGAACCGCATTCTCGCAAGATAAATCGTGATTCGATAGAACTGAAACGCGGTCCGATCCGAAACCTTGCCGGCCAGCAGCTCTTACCTTGCCGGCCAGTAGCTCTACTTATCTGCTCGGCGTACTTTAACCTTGCTCCTGCTTATCGCTTCAAATACGATAACTTCGTTAATCGTAGCCTGCTGCTTCGATACCGAGTTGCACAATAGGATAAACTCGAAATTTGTTGCCCTGCTCCTCCGTCCAACTGCACGTCTGTTGTTTACGCACGTCACGTGGTTCGCACATGTAATTACTATGTCAATCACGTGCGGGTTGTGCGATAAGCAGTGCATGGTTTGCATCTTGAGCATCTGAAAGCCACTCAGAAAATATCAAGGACGCTATCTTCAGAAACATGGAGTACTTGCTTTTTGATTCCCATTAAGGCTCACAAAGTTTCAAGTTTTCGCATCTATTACACTGTTATCCCATCTGCCTGGGTCCCTAACCACTGATGTTCATCTCTGCTCCTAAGCACAATTGAAATTGCTCCCGTGCTTGTCTAAGACACAAGCTGAAGTGCAATGCAAACTGATCTGAGCTGCTCCTAGCCTGCTCCAGAATGTAGTTTTAGCTGCTCCCAACCTGCTCCAAAGCAGCTGTTTCAGCTGCTCCCGTGGCTGCTCCCAAGTACATTTCATGAGTTCCACCCCTGTGCGATGTCGACAGGCACGTCACGGCGATTACTCTCCAGCAGATGCGTCGACACGTTCCATGGCTAGAGGAACGATCGAGAACTCGCTAATGCCAAGACAGTGCTGTACAAGATGAGTGTTGCCGAATGTGGCAGCCTACCCTTCCTCCTGCAGCTGTTTGAGGGAAAACCGTTTATGGTGACCTGCGACGTGGACGTGGACGACTGGCTGGTGAACGGTGGCATTGGCAACGGCGACATCAGGTGTTTGGAGCAGGACACAGACGAACAGGACCAACCTTGGCGCTTGTGGCTTCAGTTTGAGAGTGCCTACATCAACTTAAAACTACACATCCAGATTTTTAAAAAAATTATTATTTGAAATACTATTGGTTTTACACAGGACAAGATGCTCCCAACCATTCCCAGTATGCCGGGTGCGTTAGCTCTCACGACTGGGTTCCAGTCAACACACGCCACACGACCATCACTCTATTGTCCACGATCAAATGCAAACGAGTCTATACTCGTTTTTACCTCAAGAAATGTAGTAAGAAAAAGTCCAGCTTGTCGAGGAGCTTTACTAATTTCCCCCTCTGTGGAAAATTAAGATATATGTGGGTACATTTTAGATTAGATATATGTTATTTTATCAAGAGGTGCACATTTCAAATGCCCATAGCATGGCTTCTTTCTCCGACAACCAAATCTTGTAAGAACTACTTTGCATGGCATATGAACAATGCGCAAAACATCTTTTTCCCTTGAGGTGAAAATGAGTATAGTTTCCCTTCTCTCCGGCTTTTGCACATACAGACGAGAGGTCGCAGGGTGCCACATTCAGCGAGATCATATTCTACTACAGCAAGGCACAGGATCAATAGCTATTCTATGTAGCTATGTCAAGAGTTACACCGATCGAGGGGTTGTATCTCGCAGACACCACGCCAAAGGCAGCAACTGACTCAAAACTGTGGACCTGTGGACTGAGCTACAACAGCTTGCCAATCATTCATTAGATACAGCATGTGCACGTGCACACACCTTCCTCGCCATTCTTCCTGGCAAATCATCAGCTTCCCTGTTCGCATGAAACATTCAGAGCTTGCGTGCTCATGCTGCTGACTTCGAATCAGTTGTCGTCGTACAAACCGTCCATCTTCTCACACTCAACGAAACATGCCTCGCTGACAGCGACGGAGTCCCCGTCGCTGGATTCGAACAGGTTCTGCAGTTGAAGCGTTACGACGTTGGAGCCGGTGGCGTGGCCGTGCAGCGCGAGAGCGGGACCCATTGGGGACCTTGCACCTTTAACCGGGTGTCCATCTTGCATGCACCAGGCAATCGGTGGTCGAGTGGGCGTCTCGGCTCCGAGCGTGGAGCGAAAACTTGCGCTGGGAACCTGCTGGGTTCGATCCCCACCGCCCCCGCCTGTTTCGATCTGGTTGAGTTTCGTACCGGCACGCGTTTGTGTAATCACTACTGCGTGATGGCACCTTAAAAACCCCAGGTTAGCGGTTGTACTGCACCAGCGAAATTTCTCATCCACAGCTAAGGGACCGGTCACCTGTTGAGGCGTACCAACATCAAGGCTGTATAAACATGCGAAGCAAGAAAATTTTTGGCGTCAGCAAAATCGCGTTTTTGAGAGCGTTGCAGAGGCTGGTGGCAGCGTGCTAAAGACACGTTTTTCTACTCGTTCGTCGGTATTTGTCGAAGAAGTGTCTTAAATCCCTGTGAAAATAGTGAGAGACTCCTCAAGAACACGTGGAAATTCTTACGAAAGTGCAGCGCCGCAGGAAAAAGGCACAACCCGTCAAAAGCAAGTTTCGCCGGTCTTGCGGCGTGATAAACAATTGCGGTGCTTGGCTCGTATATCCTGGCATAGCTCGGCTACGCCAGGATATACGTAGCGTGAGCTTATGCGCACAAAATGAGAGGTGCTATCAAGCGGCTCCGGTGCAGCGTCAGACTTGGCTACTGCGCAACGGAGGTGCACAGGTGGGCACGCGGCGGCGTCAGTCTGTCTGCCGCAACTATGACGTCACTCCTCTGGAATCCGCAGACCGGCGAGGCGGGCGCGGCGGCGGCTTCGCGTGGCTCTCATATTGAGCCGTGCTCATTATGCATGAGGGTCACGCGAAACTGCTCAACCACGGCCAGTGTAGCTAACGCTACAAAACTTTCTTGGCACGCCTGCCTTTCATTTGTTGTTCGAGGAAAACTCCGCAGACAGCGTTCGTTACTGGAAAAAGGTCCATTCTCACAGGGAACCAAGAACAACATCTTTGCTGGCAGTGCTGCAAAAAGCACAAACCGATCGCAAGTTGCCTGTTCCTTCCGCTCTAATTTGAATCGTTGAACTCCCACACGCACTCTTGCAGGGTCTCGACTTTCAGCATATTTGCTCTCCCACTTGTCCCCTACTGCTCTGCTTCTCGGATCCCGTCACTTGAGAAAGAGTATGCGCTCGAAACGTCTGTGACGTTATGAAGCTTGTTTGCGTGTTTTCTCGAAATTGAAAGACCAGAAGCACTTGTCATCACTTGATTTGTGAATATTCGCTTTGTGGGCTTTCCGGGTGGTCTGTTCTAGTTGAGGTGGTGAGGTCGATCGAGGAGCGCAAACGTGCCCGATCTGGTTAGGAAGTGTCGGAGAAAAGAT